AGTGCCTGGCAAGGAGCAGGCATTCCAGAGGCCTTGGAAGGATGGATGAGCGCCTGGCATAGTTCCTGGCACGCGGTTGATGGTCCCATTTGTTACTTGATCATGAACTGTCAGTGAATGGGGTGATTATGAGAGATGAGGGGGTTTTGGCTACTCTCCCAGCTTTCTGGGAACAAGATGGGCGAGGGAAGGCAAGATCTGCTGACATTTAAAAAGGACATAAGGGATGAGGTCTGGCTGGCTGAGTCTGAAGGGCTGCTTGGCAGGTGGGTGACCCATGGAGCGGGCAGTCCCTGCAGCCAGCGAGCAGATCCTCAACTCGGTCTCCAAAGAGGCTACTGGATTTAGGTGGAGGACGTGAGAATGGGGTTCTGGTGAGGCCTGGAAGAGTGTGGCTCCGGAACGCTGTCATTACGTCATGGGATAGAAGGGATGGTGTTTGCGGGGGAGGCAGAGGAGACCCAATAACACCCCAAGCCTCGGCCAAGCGAGAGCATGCCGAGGAGGGCAGCCTCAAGGACCCTTAGAACATGCTGGAACAGTGGTACAGCCCTCAGAATATCAGGAAAACCTGAAAAACCCGATCAGGACGTCTGGCCCACTCAACGGTGGGCAGGCTGGACTCCGATGTGGTAACCTGGAAGGCTTTGAGCAGCTTGCTGGCTACGGAGTCAGGGTCCAGAGTCCCCACCCAACCAGAATCAAGTGTAAATCTCCTCTCAGGGGTCCTCCAACTTCAGAGGAGCCCATGGGGTAAAAGGGGCCAGCAGGCCTTTGAAGAGAAAGTGGAAATGCAGCATGTTTGGGGCTGAAACTAGACCTTCAGAAAAGGATTTTTCAAACCGTGGGTTTTGACCCATTAGAGGGTCATGAAATAATTCAGCGCGCTGTCACCAAAATGTTTAGAATTTAACAGAAAGTATCACAGCGCGTTGTATATAGGAAGGGCTGTGTCACTAAATATATGGGTGTTTGCGTGTGTGTCTAAATCGTTGAGATGTAAAATGTATTTCTTACTGTGAGTTACAGTTTTAAAAAAAAGTTTGAAAGCTGCTGTTCTTGAAGGACTGGCAGACACATGAAGGGTCATTCCACCCACAGAGCGAGCGGCCAAGAGCCAACCCAGGAGACTGCTGGAGGTAATCAGACTCCACTTGGGTCCGGGGGGAAAGCATTGGCTTTGGCATCAGGCAGAGATGGATTCAAATCCGGACTCTGCATCTTACTAGTCGTAAGACTCTGGGCAAGACACCTGAGCCTCTGGCTTTGTCACTCGCAGATGTAGGTGATGGCAGTAGATCCCTCACGGGTGGTAGCAAAGTGCCTGCCAAGAGCTGGTACCCCATGAGAGTCCGTGGCGTTCCTCTCCAGCTTGATGGTGGTTCTCACGGGCCCTAGGGGGCAGCTGCAGCGCCACGGCCCGTTTCTGCCCTCCTCCTTCACGCCCTGCCTGCTAAGTTGTGGGGCAGTTGGCCGCCAGGAGTTTCCTCCCCTCCGCCCCATCCCGCCCGGCACCTTCCAGGGTGAGGGTGAGAAATAACGAGACAGCAGCCTAGAGGAAGGAGATCCAGGAGAGGAAAAAGAAACAAGTTTTATTTAAGCCCCAAACACTCGGCTAGAAAAACCAAAAACAAAAGAGAGCAGGGAGGTGGGGAGAAGAAAAAGGACATTAAAAAAGAGAGACAGAGAAAACACAGCAACCCTTTTCCATTTGAAATTGTCAAGTTACACTGACAGAGGTCACAGAATATCCACAGAAGCCATCACTGCTACACCAACACGGGCCCTACGGGGTGGACAGGGTGGGGTGCGGAGTGGGGGTGAGCCTCAGGGGGCCCCACCTGGGACCCCTCTCAGAGCCTCAGGCCTGAGGCTCCTGGGGAAACAGCATATTGTGGAAGGGGCGGGAGAGAAACCCCCCATGCGAGTAACACAGCACAGTGGATGGGGGCCAGGGGGACCAGGTACAGGGGTCCCCCCAACATCTTAGTTTTCTCTTGGTCAAGCACACACTGATGGACAGAGCATCGAGGCGCATGCAGCTGGGGGGGCACTGACGTGCTGCAGGCTTTGAGAGGACCATGGGGATGGGGGCTTGGGAGGGGAGCCAGAGCGAGCGGTGCAGGGACGATGGAACACACACACAGGCACTCCCACACGCCCGGGTCCACACACACGTGCACACACACACCCACACACACAGGTCACGTGCACCTCCACGTACACCCCTCTGTCCACACACACGAGTCTCTCGCAGCTACGCACGTCTGCACACACACATTACATGTGTTCTCACCCGCAAAGCTCCTCCACACCAACGTGCAGGTGGGCACGTGCTGATGCCCAAGCAGGTTACATGCACCTATGTGCACATGCCTCCCTGCACACACGTGCGGTAGGTCACACCTGTGCATGCACATGCTTCCTCCACACGCCGGTAAGTGGACTTGGGTAAGGGGGCTTGCGCTGGTGTACACACACACACACATACACACACACACACAGGCTGTGCACAACTCCATGCCAATACCTCTCAGCCCGTAAATGTGCAGGAACCAAGGTGACAGAAAGATGCAAATCCCACTGGGCTCCACGTGAGGGGGTGGGCGGGGCACAGGGCTCCCTCCATCTGCCCCCTCGTGGATGGACACCCCACACACCTCCTCCTCCCCCCACAAAGGGACATTCAACTCAGGACAGTGACAGTGGGGCACACATTCAGGTCACGGGGCTGAGGGTGGGAGGTGGGGGGGAGAAAACTAGCAAGCAGAGAGTAATGGAGTGGAGGGAGGAGGGGGCACCACTCCCCTCCCCTCCCAAGTCAGAGGGTCTCTGTACAGCCAAATCAACCAACCGTTTCACTGGACCACAGAAGCCAGGCCGGTGTGCCCATCCTCAGCCCCCCTCCCCCGCCAGAACAGCGGCCAGGGAGAGAGTGCCGTGGTTTCTTTTTTTTTTCTTTTTTAAATATTTATATATATTTATATTACGTATATTATATATATATAATATGTAAATATATTTTTAAAACAATATAAAATGTTAAGACACTTCACTTAAATGTAAAGAGTTGCCTGCAATTAAAAGTAATTGCATCATTTATGAGGTCCTTTTTTTTTTTTTCTATTTTCCAGGGTTTTTTTTCAGGAGGGATTTTTTTTTCCTCTTCTTTTGTTATTTTTCAAAAAGGCTTGCTTGCCTTTGTACAAAAATGATCCAAAGCTAGAAAACAAGGATGAGCCAACAAAAACAAAACAAAGAAAAAGAAAGAAATGAAGAAACACAACCCAGGCCCCCCCCTCCCAACAGCTCCCCGGCTCTCCCCCCGGCGCCCACCGTCCCCACACCGTCCCCCCGGCCCCAGGGTCTAGGAGGCTGCGTCCTTTCAATGGCTCCTTCTCTCTGTGCTTACTCGGGGAGACTGATCCCAGGCCCCCTCCCCTGTGCTGACCCCACTTTGTGCTCCAAATAGGAATCGTGCTCCCTGGGGACCCCTACTCCATCCTCCTCAACCCCAACCACATAATCTCCCTGCCGGCCCCTCCCTGTGCCCTCTGGGAGGTCGGCCGAGAACCAAAATTGGCCCCTCCCTCCCCCATTCAGGACCTGGCCAGAAGCCTGTGCCCACAGCCTTTGCGGGGCAGGCGTCCACGAGTCGGGGACACTGGCTGGCTGGTCAGGCCTCAGGGACCCTCAAGGATCTCACCAGCGGTCACGGGCTCCCCATTTAAAACCATGTCTCACCCCTTCCCTGAAAACCCTCAAATCTCAAAGAGGATGGTTGAAGGTCAAGTCACCCCACCCGTGGGGTTCGAGCTGTCCTCACCGCCCCCCGTCAACACCCTCTCTACTCCCCCCATTTCCCTCACAACCAGACCCTTCCCACCCTCCAGGCCTCAAAATCTAATTTGCTAGGCCCTTCATTCCTGCCCACCCTACCCCCTTAAATAAGTTAATGTTATTTAAAGTGCTAAATTAGGAAACTAAAAGTACCAAATACCCCTCCTCGGGGCTGCCCTCTCCCAAGGCAGGGTCCCCAGTGTCAGGCTGTCTGCTCAACCCACCGTCCACAACCAACAAGTCCAAAGGGTGCTCCCACCGCTCAGCACAGGCCGGCGGCTCCTCCCCACAGAAGGGCGGCCCAGGCAGCCAGCTCCTCTCTGAGGACACACAGATTCAACGGCCTCACACCCACCCCGAGGCCCCTCAAACTCTGGCCTCCCTCTCCGGCCCATCCAGCGGGACCCCAGGCCCACCAGGGCTGTGGAGGAGCAGAGTTCAGTCACGTCCTGAGGTCGGACTGGTGGGGTGCCTCCAGCGCCGGAGGCTCCCTGCGTCCCATTTTCCAGCCTGATACTGGGGTTGGTCCAATGTCCAGGTTTTCCTCCAGGAAGGTTTCCGAGGAAAGGGAGAGGGAGGTGTCTCGCTGCTCCAAGTCTCCGTGGCTCAGAGTTTGCTTGGAGCGCTCTTGGAAAGTTCGGGGGGAGGCAGGAAGGATGGGCAGGATGCAGGAGCTTCAGCGTGGACTCGGGGTAAGAGCCAGGAAAGAGAAAACGGAGGGACGATGACAGGAATTGGGCCATTTGGGAACAGGAAATCAAGGGAAGGTGGTGTGTTTTGGTTTTTAGTTTTACTATTTTGCTTTTTAAAAAAAGATAATTAAAAGTGAATCGTTTAAAAAAACCAAAAACACCAACAGGTCATGGGTATAGAGAGCTGAGGAGGGCCACACTTTGGCAGACCCTTTGGAGGGTCTAGAGAATGGGATGGGGGTAGTGTGGAGATGAAGGGAAGAGCAGGAAGAGAAATGGCAGGGGTAAGGGACCGGGACAGGCTGGGGTGGGGGTGTGAGGGGGCTTCTAGAAGGAGATGGAAGAATTCCTCGCCCCAAAGGAAGTCAATACGGGGATAGAGGTTCTGGAAGCTGAGGGCTTTTCTGAGACTGGGCTCGAGGTCTCATTCGACCCACTCATCTCTTTAGATGGTTTAGTGGCCTGGAAGAAAAACAGGGGTCAGGGGTCAGAGAGAGGAAGGGAGAGCCACATCCTGGCCGCCAGCTGAAGTCTTAAAAAAATGAAAAACCTCCACAAATCCAAGAGAAAATTCACTGCAAAAGGAAGAAATCAGAGGGGCATCTGGAGAGAGTGGTCCCCTGAGACAGTGGAGGAGGGCGCCACAGCAGGGGCAGGAAGGGGGGACACACGGGTGGACCAGAGGGCCCGGGAACCAGGGTGGGAGGGTAAGTCCACGGTTACTGAGAGGAAAGAGAAAAGGTAGAAGAGAGAGAGCAGAGAAGCACAAGGGAGACCCCGTCCAGGAGGGCAGCCAGGGAGAAGGGGAGTGGGCAGAGGGCCGGGGAGGCGAGGAGGAAGTGAAATGTTAGCTACCACGGGGGTGCAGGGAGGCGAGAGGGGAGCAGCCCAGCTCTCAGTCCCAACCGGTCAGCCACCCAGCCAGGGCCCCTCCTGACCTCAGCAGGGGGCTGATTCTCAGCTGAAGGTCTTGTGGTAGCAACTGAGGCGTGAGCTTGTTCTCTCGAGGGAGCACTTCTCTTAAGAACCCCCCATACCCCCCATCCCCTGGAAGCTGGAGGAAAAGGGACCACTGCATCCAACCTCCCACTCAAGGCAGGAAGCCCACCGCATGCCCTACAAGTGTTCCTCCTGCTTTGAGCTGGGCCTCCGGGTACCGGGAAGTCACTCCCTCACGACACGTCCTGCACTCACGGGTCAGTTCTCATAGTTAGAGCCATGCCCCTCTCCACCTCCAGCAGACTCCCTGCCTCTGTACTGGTCCGGGAGGTTTGTATGGTTCCAAAGCCATTGATGACAGGTCACAAATGCAGATTTCCAGGCCCCACTCCAGAGTCCATCTCTGGTGTGGACTCAGGAATCCACACGTTAGGCAGGCGCCCCCAGTGATCCCGCTGCACACTTAACTCTGAGGTCCACTGGGTTAGGGCTACACAGACGGGGTGTTCTCCCTGTCGCTGCAGTCACTGTCCCTCCTGGCCTTGCTTGGCTACTAGTGTGATAAGTGAATTGCCTTGATAGAAAAAGATAGGAAGAGGGCTGCAGACAGTGCTGGGGCACATGGCCAGAGACCTCGTGCAGGTTAGGTCTGGGGAGGTCACTCCACTGACCTGAGGGGATGGCTTGCAGCCTGACTGGCTGACAGTGACCCCGCCCTTGCAGCTGGAGAGCACCACGCCCCTTCTCCCAAGAGGGATTCACTGGCTTTGTGTCCACACTTTCCCCTTAATGAGAATTAAGGCCAGAGACCCGTCTGGGTCTTCTAACCTCTCTCCTCTTTACTGTGGCTGCTCATTCCTTACTCACAGAGGGGCCAGGGCCGCAGCCACAGGATCTCTGCATCCACCCAGTCCTCTGCCAAGCGCCACGGCCCCTGTTTGCGGGGTCCTGGTACTTGGACCTGGAGAAGACTCATTCAAAGGCAACCGAGAGCTCTCTCCTTCACTCCCTTGGGCTCTAGGCCCCTCCCCCACTGCCCATTTAGAGTTCTTTCTCCCAAAGCTGGTGGGAGGGGAGCGCATCTGCTTTCTCCCCGTGTCTCTTCGCATCTCACAGGGTCCCAAGCCAACACTGACTCCCTCCTGGCTGTCCTCTTTGTTCTCAACCCATCTTTCTAGTTAAAAGCTTTTTCTGTTCCTTCCCTTTAGCATTTGTCAGGAGCCCCAGTCTATTCTGAGCTTTGGTCTTTGGACCCCCTGCCTTCACGCTTGTGCCACCACCTGACTCCTGTATTCACTCAGGTGACACATCCTCACCCAGGCCATGTCCTCCTTCTCCCACAGCCCGCGGAAGGCCTTTAAACGCCAGTGTGTGGCAGCGTCCACCGGCCGACGTGGACGCCCCCCACCCCCGCTTCACGGCGACCTCTTCCGTCGCTCTGTGAGCACCGGTTTTGCACAGTCGTCTCAGGTCGTCTTTCCTCCCAGGAGACTGGCTGCAGCAGCATCCAAAATCCACTTTCCTGAAGCTGAGGGAGCACGTCCAACTGGGCCCTGTCCTGTGCTGCTCAGAGTTCTCGCGTGACACAGCTGCTGTCTCTGAAATTTCCTGTCACTTCCATTTCACCAGCCAGTCCTGCCCTGTTGCTCCCAATTATGTCCAGAGAAGCAGTGCTTTGTCACATTTGTGGCAAGGCAGAAACCTTCAGCTTCCAGCCGAGGAGACTGGAACCATTAGCCAGGCCCAGACGGCTGAGCTCTGACCCCTCTGCTTCCTGTGGGTCAGAGTCTAGCACCGCCCTATGCCCCGAGCATGCTGACCTGTCCCTCCATGCTATGACGCACAGATTTCCATATAAGTGTAGGTCATCTTGAAGTGGCAGATCCTGCTGGTGCCACCTCCCCCTGCCCGCACGCCAGTCCTCCTTGCTACTTGCCCGAATCAGGCACCGGGCTGTCAGGAGAGGCACGGCTTTCCCCCAGCCCGGGGTGGGTGGGTCCTGATAAATCTATGGTAATTTAGTAATGTCCTTCTCCTTGCCAGTGACTGATTTAGGAATGGGCAATGAGAAGAAGGGGGAGGTCAGATGGGGACTTCTGGAAAGGTTCTCCTGCTCCTAAAAAGATCTGTGTGCCTAGGACCCCTGGAATGAAGGCAGCCATTGTGGGAGGCTGAGGGGGCCAGGATGAGGGCCAACAGGACCAAAATCTGGAAGGAACACAGATCCTGACGGCCTCGAGCCACGGATTGCCCCTGCTTCCAGAGTTCTTGTTTTGTTAGAAGCTACCTTTCCTTATTGTTCGAGCCATTCTGAATTAGTTTCCACTATTTGCAGCTAAAAGCATTCCAACTGACACATGTGAGGCCCACAGGTGCTCCCCTAACGCTCTTGTCAACAGTATTCCTGTCACATGTGCCATCTCACCAAGGCTTGGTGACACCCACGAGGTCACGATCCCTGTAAAGCAGTAGAGTCCAGCATTAAGACAGCAGAATCTATGTCAGGCAGACCTGGGGTTAAGTCCTAGCCTAACTGCATGACCCTGCGCAGGTTATCTCCCTGGGCCTTCACGTCCTCACCTGCAAGCCAGGGACATTGGTTTCACATGAGATGACGTACACAGAGCACGGGGCTCAGTGCCACACTCAGGACACATACAATAGATGGCGGATATTATTGTTATTACCATATCGTTGTTATTTTAACATTTCAAGTCTGTTTTGTCTATTTCCATCTGGATTGGGCCTGATCCGTGGCAAATTCACCCCTTCAGTCACCCACCCAACAAATATTTACTGAGCGCCTGTGTATGCCATGCACTGTTCTAGGTACCATGAGGATGGAGCAGTGACAAGATGGATTAAGCACATAAAGTTTAAGATATAAAGTTGTTATGAGGATTAAATAAGATACATAAACTTGGTACCTAAAAGGTGTGCCAGCTGTTTCCCATTTGCCTCTCCACTGCCCAGACGCAATTTCTGCCCTGCTCTGTGCCCTGGCTGGCCGAGCCCTGCCACGCCTGTGCCGACTGCCTTCCAGTTGGGTTTGGCCAAAGGGATTAGGGCAGAGTGAAATGGGGGGTGGTGGGGGTAAAGTTTCTTCCCTACCCCCTGCCCCCTCGGCGCCCTGTCACAGGTAGCAGCCATGCCGCTGTAACCACAGCTCCTGCCGGCTAGCTCTCACTGGCCTCCCTAAGCACTGCGATCCTTGCCCCTCTCCCCAGGGAGGTCACAGCTGCCTGCTCTCACTAGTCCCTCGGTGCCTCAACACCCCTTGTTTGTTCCCTCAACCCTCTGGGGCGGCACCTTCATTACAGTCTCTTCGCTTCAGCCGTCTGAGGAGATATGCTGGGTGTTCACCAGATTTCTTAGCCCCAGTGGGGTGTCCACGGCTTCACGTCTGCGCCAAGCCCTTGATCCTTGCACCCCAGGAATCTGGCTCCCATCCCACCCCTGGATCTTGAGCACAACATCCACGAGCTTTCTCTCAATCACGTCCTCTGATTTCTCTGTAGTGCCTGCACTGTTGCACCCCCAACTCGGACTCCCCTCCGCCCCCCAATTTCTGTGTCTCTGATCCTGGCACTTCTCTTCCTCTCCCCCTCATCATTGTCAAAGGCAGCTTCGAGCTCCGCATCTTAGAACCTCATGATGAGGGGAGGCCTCTGCCTAGCCCTGTCCCTAACAAGTGTACAGTGCCACCAAGCACAATGGTGACTCCTTCCCTCTGTGGCTTTCAAAGCTCGTTCCCGTATCTGGCATTATATGACCTCAGAACGCACTGCACAGATGAGGAAAGAGCCTGCATGAGGCAGAGGACTTCGACCAAGGTCACAGACTGAGTTGGTATGGAGAGGTGTCCCCGGCCCAGAGGACGGAGGGCCAGGTGACCCAGGGTGGCTGGAGCAAATTGAGGGTGTGGGATGGAGGGCGCCGGGAGAGCTGGGCGGAGGGACCCGAGGCGGCTCATGAAGCGCTCTGGGCAGCATGTGAAGGACTTTCGAGCTTCTTACCCGGCAGGGGCTGGTGGGCACAGGTTTTAGGCAGGGGGAGTGACAGAATCAAATCTGCATGTTACCAACTCCCTCTGCACCCCGCAGGCCTGGGAAACAGGTTAGAGGCAACAGAAGTCACAGGGGACCTCAGAAAAGCATGCATTTAGGTAGCGAGGCATAAGATGATTTTTTTCCCTGCTTCTTTATAACTTTTCTTTACTTTAAAAATTTTTCACAAGGAACACGTATTACTTTATTAGAAAGAAGATGCTTTTTCAAAGAAAAGCTACTAGAAAAATGGAAGTGCCAGAGAGCCAGAGCAGTGGCAGGAGTGTGGGAAGAGAAGAGTTCTGCGTCTGTAGGAGGTGACGGAAAAGGTGGAGCTCGGAGACGCCCCAAGCGTGGGCGGATGCCTGGGGGTGGGTGACACTTCCTGGGGGGAAAGCAGTTGGGGCAGGCTTGAGCTCCGAACAGAGACCTGGAAAGGGACAGATGGCGCCTGGTACCCAAGGAGAGGAGGGTGTGGTGTGACGAGCAGAGAGGCTGAGGAGAAACCTGGGCACAGCCAAGTGAAGAGGCAGGCAGAGGAGAAACGCCCAGAAAGGAGTCTGGAGGGCCCGGGTGAGGGCTGACAAGGAAGGAGAGGATGTCAAGGAATGGAGGGTCGAGGAATACAGCCCCCGGTGTATGGGGGCAGGGTATACCCTGCACGTGCTGCGGAAAGGTGGGGAGAGCACCCCGGAGGTCGCTGGAGACCTAGCCAAGCCCAGTGGCGAGGCGGGAGGGAAGGCGGAAGGCTGAGGAATGAACGGAGGTGAGGGCCTGGAGGCGACCAAGCTGAGGACAGAAGGGAGGGCACCCTGCGGAGGAGCCGTGGGAGTTGGGAGTCAGGTGGGAGATGGCGGAGCATAAGTGTATGCACGGGGAGGGGGTCAGACAGTCCGGATTTGAATCCCACTCCACCACTTGCCAGTTGTGTGACCTTGGGTAAAGGCTCAGTTTCCCCATCTATCAAACGAGGATAACGAGGACCTTCCTCAGAGTGGTGTGGTGAGTGGGAAATGAGATGATGTGTGTGTCTGGCAGAAGTGAACACCCCATAAATGTCAGCTGCTGTTCTGGACACAACGGAGGGACCAGCCTGGACAGGACGAGGGGAATTCATCCATGGTGGCGGCGGGGAAAAGAGCTGGGGGTAGGATTTGCAGGGTGTGGCTGGGAACCCATGAGGAAGACAGTGGGCTAGCAGGGAGCTAGTGAGGAGAGCCTGGTTGGGGGCGGGGGGCGTGCCTGGATGGCCCATCTCCCCTGGATTCTCCAGGGAACCAGCAGACAGGCAAGGCCCCGTGTGCCCAGGGCTGTTGCAGGGCCATGTGGTGGGAAGGGCTTTGGGAGCCCTGGGTTTCAGTCCTGGCTCTGATGCCACCTTGCTGTGCACTCTTGGGAACTCCCTTTCCTTCTCTGAGCTGTCCCCTCATCTGTAAAGGAGGTGGCTGGACTCACTCATCTCTAACTTCCTGCCTCTGAGCCTAGAACCTTCTTCAAGTCACAGCGTCTGGACATTTCATGGCTCCACTCCCATCCTGGCATGCAGGAGCTGCTCAGAAGTATTAACGAAACAAAAGAATACATGAAAGGTCTCTCTCGACATCTAGGCCCAGGGACCACCCTGTACCTTCTGACTGGGCCACACGGTGGGCCACGGGGCAGAAACATCCACAGATGGGGTTGTCTACTCTGTACACTGTCGCCAAGCCCAGTAACTAAATCTGAAAGAGGGTGCATCGCCTGGCCACTCCTACCCAACCCCCCACCTGGGAGCCAAAGGCCCTCTCCCTCTTCTCCCCCCCTCACCCCGAATGTCAGCAGGGAACCCACTGAAACCAAAACACGAGACTGGAAAGCAGATGCAAAACTGGTTCCTCCCTCAGCTGGGAGATGGCCTAAGAGCTAAGAGGGAGGCTGAGAGTGGGAGCCCCAAAGAGAAGGCGGGACCGAGAGCAGAGAGAAGGAAGCAGAGGAGAGGAGTGGAGAGGCAGGAAGACTAAGGGGGATCAAGGCCCCTTCCACACCCCAGAGCCGGCTGGACAAGGGGCCCAGGCACTGGGGCTGGTGGAGACATGAGTCCCCTTGCTCCCCCTCCTCCGGGAGCAGTGGGGGGAGGGCTCTCTCTGCCCTGAGTGAGGGGCCTCCTGATGGAAGCGGCCTCGCTGAGAACATATGTTCTAAACCAGACCCAGAGCACTGGGATTGGGAGAGCAAGGAGAAGACGGCTCGAAGGACCAATGGGGCAGTCCTGGCGGGGAGGCTTTCTCTGGGCAGCTGGAGGGAAGGTGGTCCCCGGAATACGGGCAGGAGATGGCCCGCACACAGCGGGAGCACATTGTTGGGGGGGGGGGGCGGCAGTGCCCACGCCTACCTGCTGCTGGGCCTGGATCCTCATGTACTCGGCCCTCTGCTTGCCGTGCTTGCCTTTGTCGGGGCTGCCTGCCTGGCCCTGAGCCGCCTTCAGCCGAGAAGCCCCCGGGGTCACCACCTTCATGGGTGGCACGCTGCCACCGCCACTCTGTGGGAAGAGAAACAGAGTTGGGGTTGGAAATGGGATCATATAGGACTCCTAGATACCAAGTGGAGCCTCTGGGGCTGGGACCTCCTTGGTGGGCCCTTTGAGACCTGGAAACCGTTCCCTGGCTCCACATCCCTGTCCAGGACTCCCTGGACCTCCACACTCTGAGGCCATGTTTAAGGCCCCTCTGCAGGAGAGGGGACAGGGGCCCCCAGCCAGGTTCCCAACAGCTCCTGAGTGAGAATTCTTTGGTAATTTCCTTGAATAGCCCAGGGACAGCTGGTGACCTCCTGGGGGAGCCACTTCTAAAGCAAGTGTCCCTGGTAGCACTCCTACTCCTGGCCAGGGGCACCATCCTGGGCCCAGGAGAACATGTCTGAGATTTGGGGGATGGAGGGTGTCTTAATAACGGCAGACAGACCAGGACTGGCAGCACCAGGCCCATGTCTTCCTCCAAATGGGAGGACAAGGGTGAAGTCTCCCTAGGGATGGACAAGTCCGGCCCCTTGAACCACCCCAGGTACCACGCAGGCCCAGAGGAGCCCTAGGATCCAGAGGCGCAGGCAGAGAAACAAAAGAGACAGAGAGAGTCAGACAGGAGAGGGGGAGGGGAGCGCAGGGATGGAAAAGGGGGAGAGAACTTTATTTGTTGGTTTACAGATACAGAGCAGAGGGGAGAGGCCCTGGTCCCTGCCTGGGCTGGCTGGGCTGATCCCTGAGTAGGCCAGCTTCCCAGCCTCCCTCAGGATCTGCCTGCAAACTCCACCCTGGCGCCAGGCTCCCAGGAGGGTGGCAGGAGCTGAGAGGAGGCCAGTGGGAGGAGGGGGCTGGCATAGTGGTCCTGCAGAGCCCTCTCCCCCCTCAAGCTCTGAAGACCAAGAGACTGGAGCATGAAGGCAGGAGGGGAGGACAGGGGAGGAGGCAGCCACCTGGGGACCAGGGGGCAGGGGTAGAGGGCTGCCAGGGGGGCCCGTGGCAGGAGCCGTGCCCATCTGGCTCAGGGTGGCTTCCAGCTCCCGGAGAGTTTCCTCTAGGCTGTCCATCCGCTGGGTGGTGGCACCCCTCACTGTGCAGCCCAGGCCAGCAGCAGGCTGGCCACTGCAGGATTGGGCATCATGTCCAGAGTCACTGTGGGTCTCCTCTGGGTGGGTCTCAACAGTGGAGGGCTCCTGAGCCCCGTCGGGGGCTGGTCCCTGAGGACAGGGAACCCCGGCTCCTCCCTCCTCTGGGCAGCAGCCCCCTATCCCCAGTCCCTTGAGAGCTGCCCCTTCCTTCTTGGGCATCAAGCTGCTCCTGGGCTGGGAAGCCTCGGCCACCATCCCTGGCGGGGCCCATAGGCCATCCCAGCCCCTCCCGCTGCCAGCCAGGGTCCGAGGTCGTGGGGTGGGGGGCGTCCTGGAACCGGGTTCCTCAAGCCTGGCCTCCAGTGGGGAGGGAGGGTTGGGGGCACACTCCGTCAAGATGATCCGGGGAACACAGAAGGTCCTGGGGCCTGGGGCAGCCTGGGGGGGAGAAGAAAGACAAGGGAGAATGTGATCCATGCAAACCAAAACGCTCCAAGCCGGGATGGGGGTTGGACATGGATGAGCCTGGCCCCTTCTTTTCATACATGGGGAAACTGAGGCAGGGGAGGGTCCTGACTGAATTTACCCAGCAAGTTAGGGGCAAAGCTGAGAGTAGAAGTCAGGCCTCTTTCCACCACACCCTATGGTCTCCCACTGTCCAGAGGAGACGGCAGTTTCCCCAGAAGCACAGACACGTGTGTACTTCTCATCACTCGTGTTAAGTCCGGAAGCAGGTCTCACGGGTGCTCCCACGAGTGTGCCCATCTGTACGATGGGGTGATGTGAGGCTGGTAGAGAACCAAGTGAGCTCACGTGGGCGTCTGCTTAGAACAGTGCCCGGCACGTGGTAAGTGCTCAATAAATAGTAGCTCTTTGTTGAGTTGGACTGAGTGACTGAGACGGGCAGCCCTGTGCGGGTGGAGACCGGTGTGGGTCTCTGGCCTCTGATGATGGGGCTGTCATCCTCATCTCAGGCCAGAGATCCTGGGCCCCCACCCCCTGCTTTCAGAGCTTTCTCCAAGGGCTTCACAGCCACAAGGGGAGGGGCTCAGCCAAGGCCCTCTGCTGCACACAGGCTCCGCAAAGCTGGAGCGTTTGCTTCTGTGTGAGCGTCCCCAGCTCTGGCTTTGGTAGGGGCACAGAGAGAGACCCCCAAACCCCCAGCTACCTCCAGTGAATTCTGGTCTAATTCTGAGCAGTCTCGTGCTGGCAGGATCACATATGTCTTCATCTTTAATCCTCACTACAACCCACAAAATGGCTACTACTCTTATTGTCCCCACTTTACAGATGAGGAAGTCAAGGGTAGGGGTCACGTGATTCACCCAGGGTCACTTACTCACAGCTAGCTAGTGGCAGAGCCAGGATTTGAACCCAGGCAGTCTGACTCCAAGTCCAGTGCTCTTTCCACTAAAAGGAGCCATGGGGAGATGTGTGGAGGCCAGCAGGGACCCCAAGCCCCCTCCCAAGACAGCCCGCCCAGCCCTGCCACCTGCTTACCTGGAGGTGGGGGTGCAGACTGGGAAGGCAGAGAAGTGACCCATGCCCGCTGGCTCCACTGCCTGATGGCACCTCAGGACGCAGAGGGTCAGCCAGCCCAAAAGGCCAGCAGAAGGGCTTGGCCCACTGGACCCCTTCAGGATTGGTTCCCAGGGCCAGAAAGGGGCAGGGCCTGGGCGCAGCAGGCCAAGGCGTTGAGGGCACAGCCAGCTGGGGGGGCACCCTTCCACACTGCTCTGTGCCCCCCTCTGCCCAGCAGACAGCACTGTCCACCTGTCTGGTGCCTGTCTGCTCCCCCTAGCCAGGGAGCCAAAGTGCCACCAGGCCTCAAGCCAGCCCAGAAATCAGGTGGCGGCCAGCATGGATGCCTCTGTGGGCCAAGGAGAACCAGACAAGGCAGGTGACATGTGTGTGCATGGGAAGCTATCCTCCTCAGAGCAGAGGCCCTCCTGCCCCATCCTGACTGGGCAGAGGGAGAGATTCCCAGACCACCATCCCCCAAGCACAGTCCCCTGGGGGTACAGAGAGCAGGTCCACCCCCAAATTCCCAAGAAAGAATAAAGAGGAAATAAGTGCAGCAGGACAGCAGCAAGGACTGAAGTTAGAGAGAGGAAGAACTTTCCAACACTGTGAGAGAGAACCAGCAGCCAAGGAAGGGTGTGGGTTTCTTCCATACCAAGCTCCCTGACCAGGTGGGGCCATGGGCTGGAGGGAGGCCGTCAGTGAGCCTTCCTCCTGGCGTATCCTGGCCCCCAGTGAAAGGCATAGATTCCAGTGGGAGAAACGGAGCCCCCACCTGGCACAGGCAGAGAGTAAGGGGACCAGGCAGAGACTAGGCAAGGGTTCAGGCCAAAGTCAGGTTTGGAGCTGGACCTAAAGTCATGTAGTGAGCAACACCCAAACTCTAATCTTAGACCAAGACAAAACCCAGGCTTCGGGCCAGACCAAACTCGGGCTGCAGATTGGAACAAAATATCCAGGCCACCAAGGGCCAGACTCGGAATCAAGCCTGTAAGAAAACACAGACCCATGGGGCCACCAGATACCAGGCTGCAGGGTCTCCAGGAGGGAAGGGAGGGTTACACCTGTCCTTGAAGCTGGGGAGGGGGAGTCTGCGTGGTAAGGCTGTGGCTGTGGCAGTGGCGGGACTGGAGAGGTGAGTAAGCGTGAGAGGTGAGGAGAGGAAGCTGTGGAGGCACAGGCAGAGAGAGCGCCGTGAGAGGTGGGGGCAGCCCGTTACCTTCCATGGGGGGCCCGGGGCTGAGCCCCTGGGGGGCCCCAGGTCCTGGGGGGACAGCAAGGTGGGGATCGGCTGGCGGCGGGGCGTGGGGGGGAGGGAAGACACTGAGCTTCTCTCAAACACCTGGGGAGCAGAAGGTGGGGGCAGGTTTGGAGGAGAGGGCACAGAGAGGATGGGGGTGCTGGCCCACGGCCCAGGTGACCATGGGAAGGGGTGGCCTGGGCTGGCACTGGGACCCCAGCCTCACTCCTTGGACCCTTCCCATGGCCACTGGCCACTCTGCCCCCTAGAGGCAGAGTGTCCAAGGTCTCCAGCCACTTGGGGAGGGAGGCTCAGAACACTTGGTATGGGTGACCTAAGTACTCGCAGGGGCTCGAGGCACTTGGGTATGACGGGTTAAAGTACTCTGTTCTCAGAACACTCAGCGATGGGGCTCTCAGAGCACAGGGGTCTCAGGGCAGCTGGAGGGTCTCAGGGACTACAATAAAGAAACTCAAATCTGCAAGGAGGGACTCTAGACCCCCTCCCCCATTTTACAGTGGAGAAGAAATTGAGGCAAGAAGGCTGGGGTCCTGAACAGGCCAGCCTCAGCAGGTAGCCCGAGAGGCCATCCACCTGTCCTAGTCCAGCCACCTTGCCCTGGGGTCAGCTTGTCAGGAAAAGGGAGCCGGCCTGGTTGATGACTCAGGGCCAGGAGGGCCCCTGACCCACCTCCAGCTCTGCGATGATGCGGTCCTCATCGTCCTCATCCTTGATAGCAGAGGCCATGATGGGCGGCGTGGAGGCTGGGCGGGCCACCTCCGACACCGTCCGGCGCAGCTTCACTTGGGGCTTCTGCACCTCCAGCTCCTCAGACTCGGCCTTCTGCAAGGTGCAGGTCCCCGTCAAGACGAGGCTCTGTGCCCCCTCCTGCACCAGCTCACCTCCTAGGCCCCATCAGTTCCAGACCACCTCCCACCTGCCCCAGCTCCTCATCTGCTACTTCCTCTGTCCCCTGCCAGGATGGCCCCCAATAGGCAGGGGCCTGGGTTGCGAGCAGGACAAATACACAGGGATCTCAAGCCAGAAGTGGTCACCATTGGCCAGCCCCCTTCTTTCCTTCCACTTCCCCTGAGAGAGGCCACCCCAGAGAGTCTCCAGAGGTCATCTCAGGCATGGCCCCCACTCAGCTCCTCTTGTCCCCAGCCCAAGATGGGGGTGGTACCTTGATGAAGGCTGAGTCCTTCTTGCTGGTGACCACAACCTCTCCTGTGCGTGTGGTGGTCAGGCCATGGGAAGAGGGAAAGCTCCGGCGGGGAGGGGGCGGTGGGGGCGACTTGGAGGGCTTCTCCGTGCGGTACCGGGGCACCGTCAGCTCATCTGTGGGCAGCCAAGGGCCTCACGTCAGAGACCTGTAACCCTGCAGTCTGCGCGCCACATCTGACTCCAAGGGGATAAACCTCGCTCCTTCTTCCCGGGAGGAGGGGAGAGGAGAGCTCAGGGGAAAGGACACAGGCTCCATCCTCCTTCTCCCCCACCTCCCCTGCAATTCAGCCCCGAGCGAGCACTGTCACTCCTCCTCTTCCAGCACTCCCACCCCTTGCTAGCCAAAGTGTGGCCCATGGACCAGCAGCACCAGCAGCACCTGGGAGCTTGTTAGAAGTGCAGAAGCTCAGGCCCACCCAGAGCTACTGAATCAGAATCCACATTTTTGCAGCTCCCTGGGTGACTTGACGCCCACATTCAAGTCTGAGAAGTGCTGCCATAATCCATCTCTTTCCCACCGCCCCCCAGCCCCCGCCCTGGCACAGATCTTCATCCTTTCTCCATGAAGCGAGAGCAGTTACTAATTGCAAGAGCCTGGCCCTGCACACCAGGCTTTCCCTTCCCCCAGTTCTTTTGGGGGTGGGGGCTGTTTCCAGGGCAACCTGCAGAGAAGTCCTCACACTTGACACTCCTCAGCCTTTGATCCCCCAGTGGCTCCCCATTACCCCAAACCACATCCAAGCCCCTTGGCCCAGCACCCTCCATGCCTGCCAATCTTTCAGCCTCAGCTCTACTCACTACGCCTGGCCTGAACCCTTCTCGCCAACAGCACACACCTCTGGGCATTTGCTCTCAATGTTCCTCTCCCTGGAATGCCTTCTCTCACTGGCCTACTTGTTCTCAAGACTCCAGCGCAAAGACCCCTCCTCCAGGAAGCCCTTCCTGCCCTCCCAGGGCCTCCTCTAGGACTGCACAGCATAGAGCTCCTCTCTGCTGCTGCTTTTAGCACCTGCGTCCTATTCCTGGTTCACACACTAGGTATGGCCTGGGGCAGACGACTTAGCCACATTGAGCCTTAGTGTCCTCATTTGTAAAATGGGAATGATTCCTGTATCTGCCTCCTGGGGTTGTTGTGAAATTATAAGGATTAACATATAGAAAGTGTTTGGAGCAGTTCTTGTCACACAGTAAGCGCTTGATAAGCATAAATGGTGGTATTATTCCCCCACTAGATTTTAAGCTTCCGGAAAGTGAGCAGCGTCTTCTCTCCTTATCCCCAGCACCGAGCATGCAGTAGGTGCTTAGCAAATATGTGTGGTAGGAATTAATAAATGAATGATGACTGCCGTTTCTGGTCTGGATTTCTGCCCTCCCTGTGAGCTCACAGGCTCCAAGAGCACAGGAGCCACATGCGTATGGATCAGCACTGCCTGTCTGTATGAATGCAGACCCTGTCTGGACTCACTCATCCTCCCTATGTGGTCCTCTCAGTAGCAGTCAGGGCAGCGGAAAGACCCTGGATAGAATCCAGTTCTACCTTATCCTTCTGGGTCGACCTTTAGTGGCTGAGGGTTGGGCTGCTGACGGCCCGGCACCTCCCTGCTCTGGCAGCCTGATCACAAAGATTCTTACCCCCTGTGCCTCCCCCATCAACCTGACAGCTCCTGGGATGGGGCTCCCCTCCTCTGGGCTCTTCACCAGCCCCCTCCCAGCCCCCATACCTGAGCCCCTCCTCCCACTGGGTTCCGTTCGGGGGGCTGCCTTCTGGCCATGGGGGACCTTGGGGGGCTTGTGGTCAGGGGTGGGGGCCGGGCCTGGGTGGGCCTTGCTCGCACAGTCCAGGTCAGGGATGGCCTTCAGCAGCTCTGCCTGTGTCTCTTCCAGCAGCCGGTTGATGTCCTTGGCGCTGTACTGAGTCAGGGCTGCCCGCTTCTCCTCCCAGTCCCGCTCGGCAGCCTTGAGAGGAGGGGGCAAGAGTCAGGACCAGAGCAGGTGCCTGCTGCTGGGCCTCTGCGGCCCCAGTCCCCCACCAGCCACACATGCAAGGAAGGGAAAAGGAAGCCTCACATCTGGTCTGGCCCCTGGAGGACCCTCAAACTTATCCTTGGGTATTACATGCTTTCCCCAGGAGTATAGAATGTCACCTTCATTATATACCACTCTCTTGATATACTTGGACCTGTTTGGGGACATTGTATTCTGTTTCATTGACTACAGAGTCTATTCTTATGCAAACACCACACTGCCTTAATTATTATAGCTTTATGATATGCTTTTCTGTCTAGCAGGACTAATGCTGCCCTCAATATGCTTCTCAGACTTCCTTCTCCCCCAGAAAAAGCACCCATGCGTTGGCACTTCTCAACTTAGGATGGTGTAAGAAAGCATGGGCCTAGCTCATGCCCCCCGTCCCAGGCCCAGCACCTCAACAGACACAGCCTTGTCCACGCTTCTCTTGCCAGGAGTGTCCAGGCCTTTGGTGGGGTTGCCCCCCTTGGGGGTGGGAGCGGCTCCCTCAGTCGGCCCACTCAGCTCATGGATATTCAGCGGCGGGCTGGGCGGCGGCATTTCGAAGTCCAAGCTCTTGTTGAAGTCAGTTTCGGCCGTCACCTTCTTGGGGGACTGACTCAGGAGGTTGTTGGGGGGTGGCCACACACCCTCGTCCACTTGCCTGGGGTTGGGAGATTTAGGAGCAGCTGTGAGGCCAGTAAGGTGCTGGCCCCATGGGAGGAAACCAGGCCTGAGGGAGGCAGGGTGTGAGGAAGGCTCTGGGATGTGGCAGGACAGGTGGAAGGGCCCGGGAGGAGTGACTGCATCCAGCATAAGGGACAGCCAAGAGTACAACACGCGAGGGGTCACAGGTCAGAGTTGAGGTGCAGATCCAGTCGGCACATCAGTGACCTTTGGGGAGTCAGGCTAAGGAGTCAGGCCCATCTATGGATCTGGGCCCAGTGTGTGACCCCATGGGAAATCGGAGGTCAGAGATAAGAGGTCAGGGATAGAATGACCTTCGGATCTGGGCCAGCGTGTCTGTGACCCCACGGCAGCGCTTGAGCAGCCCGTCCAGGCGCTGTGGCTCCTCCTTCAGGAACTTCACGGCCTCCACCTCCACGCGCAGCACCACCCTCATCTTGCTCTGAAGACCTGGGAAGTGAGCTGAGGGGACAGAAGGAGTGAGCTGGGGAGGGGGCAGCTCCGAGGACTGGGAGGCTGGGCAGCAGGGAGGGTAGTGCCTGGGGCTGGGGGTTGGGGTGCAGCAGGGACTCCCGCCCGGGACCACGTGCCACACTCGCTGGTCCCCCGGCTCACCCTTGAGCTCAGTCAGCGTCTCCCCAAGCTGCTTCAGCACCAGTGCCTTCTCCTCCAGCTCGGGCCCGGGCACCAGCCGGTGGTTGTGGGACATGTCCCTCTGGATCTTCTCTACCGACTTCTCCAGGTCACTGCAGCCACAGAGAGACCCTCTCAGCCCCTCTGGCCCCAGCCCAGCCCCCTGAAATTGGGCAGCTAGAAAGAAATCAGGCCACCAGTCAGATCAATGTTAGAAGTTATCCACTAGGCCAATGGCCAAGTGAAATCAGAAATGCCAAACCTCTGAGATGAGACCTCAGAAGAGCAGCCTAACAGGGCCCTGGGTCCCCTCTTTGAAGTTCTGACCTCAGCAACATCAGTACAAATTTCTCTCCCTATAACTTGCATCCTCTGATTCTCATTCTGCCAAGAAAGCAGCAGAGAACTTGGCAGCCTTTCAGAGAACAGAAGGCAGCTGTGTGTGCCCCTAAGAGGTCTCTTCTCTTGTGCAGTGGCACTGCCATGTCCATCTACCTTTTCTCAAACACTCCAGACACTCAGCCTCTTTCCTTGAGGACAAAACTGCTCTCAATTTTCAGCTGGTTTACGATGAGCTTGTTTAAAATCCCACATCTTTCTAAAATGTAAATCGGAACAAGTCACCACCCTCTGTGTTGAACCCTAAATGGATCCCATCATTTGGAGGCTAAAATCCAAACTCTTCAATGCAGCCAAGAAGGGCAGGAGAGTAGGAGTTGAAAATTTGGCTCTAGAGTCAGACAGATCCCAATTCCAATCCCAGCTCTGCCTGTTCCGGTGGAGAGATCTTGGACAAATTACTACTATCTCCAGGCCTCAATTTCCTCATCTAGAAAATGGGGGTGGTAAGAGTTCTTCCCTCCTGGGGCCACAGTGAGGATTAAATGAGGCTATGCAGATGAGGAAGGGGTCAGGCCCTGTGGGCTGCTTGGATTTTCCCTCCAGCCACATCCCCTGTTCTCATCTGGCTTGCTTGTTTAGAACCATCCAGAACTTCTCTGAGGTCCTTGCATGTGCTGCCCTCTCTAGGCCTTTATAATACCATTTCTTCTGCCTAGAACACTCCATTCACCCATACACATGCACACATGTATGCACGCACACATGCACACGTGTGACTAATTCCCACTCATGCTCAGGTCTCAATGGGAACCTCTCCCCAACTCCCTACACTGGGGTCGGGGGTCTGCTTCCAGCTCCCCAAACCCCTGGAGCTCCTGTTTGCTGGGCTGTGCAGCTCCAGGCAGGCAGGGACCACATCCTCCGGATTCATCTCCGATTCCCAGCACCTGGCCTGGTGCCTGGAGCAGAAGAGATGTCTGGTAAATAATTGTGGAATGAGTGAATAAGCGAAAGAAATGAACTGCTGCCCAGGTAGGTCATCTCAGTTCTGTGCCGGAGTCACCGACATCCCTGACCCACATGCCGGACTTTACATCCGTTCCTGTCAAATCTCATCTGTGGGATTTCAGTTCAACAATCCAGGTGGGAACGACTTCCAAATCTCAGCCCTACTATCCAACAGATTTGTTCCCCATCAAAGCTCTGTGTCATCAGCAAATCTTATCAGCATGCCTTACACATCTTCATCCAACTGGCAGGGGAAGACAGACGATGTTGGAGCCAAAGACAAACTCCTATGACTCAACACCACCAGTTCAAGAACGATCTTTTACCGAGCACTTGCTGCCTCCCAGGCGCCACATCCAGCCCTTCATTGCTATTACCTTATTTAATCCTCACAACAAATCCTGTGAGTGGGAACCATTTTTACTTCCAGTTTACACATTGACAAACAGTAGCTCAGACACTAAACTACATTTCCCAGCCTCCCTTGCAGTTTGAAGAGGCCATTCGAATCAGGTCTAGCCAACGGAATATGAGTAGAAGGAGGACCTGCTGCTTCCAGGCCTGGCCCATAAAAACCTCCCTGGAAGCCCCTCCATGCTCTTTTCCCCTTCTTGTTGATTGAAAGGCAATGATCTCGTGGGTGATCTTGGAAGGCACATATTGAAGATGGCAAAGCCGCCATTAGCCTGGGTCCCAGAATGACTGCATGGAGGAGGGCCACTCCACTAACCCACCCAATACTGTGCCACGAGAAAAAAAGATCTGTCTATTACTTTTGAACTATTACACAATTTGTTATAGCAGCTACCCCAACTAATTAATTAGCTACCCGAACTAATACAACAGGCTTTGGCATTAAGGAAAAAAAAAGAGGCTCAGGGAGATTAAGTAACTTGTCCAAGGTCATATACCTATTTTGTGGCAAAGCAGTATCTACTCACGTCTGACTTCAGCCATTGGGTTCAGCTGCATCTCCTTCCACACTGGACTAACATCACCCCACACCCACCCACGGTCCCACCCAGCCCTCACTCCGCCACATGGGAAAGAACTCTCCTCTGCTGTGTGTGACACCTGACTGGCTCAAAGCGTGCCTGTGTGTAAAAAGGTCACTCCCAAACGTCACTTTGAGGGAGAAAGGACCCTCATTTGAAGGAGGACTCAGGTAGGCCTTCAGGAGGAGACAACACTGCAATTCTCAGGCCAAAGGGACGAGGCCTCCCTTAAGCTCAGTCAGCACCTGGATTTTCTGACCGTGCAATCTGCTAAAGTTTTAGAGCCCCTAACTCGGGCAGGCTCTGCAAATGAGTCCCAGACCAGCCCAAGTCTAGACACTGGGATCAGAAAGTGTCCTGGAAGGGCCGAAATGGGAGGGTCAGGACAGAACCAGCTATATAATTCGAAGAAGATTCAAATGAAGATTTTGCCCCTAATTGAAAAATTATTAAATTATTAAGAATTTCAAGACTGCAATAGCAGAGCATTAAACCAAGCCATGGGGCCCTTACGAACTTACGGACTGTGTGGGGCCCTGCGTGACTGTGCAGGTCGCATGCCTACAAAGCTGGCCGTGGCTTAGGCCAAGTTAGGCTCCAGAGGCCAAAAGGTCTCAATCAGCAGAGGCTGCCTCTAGGGGCAATGTCTAGACAGAGCTCAAGCGCTTGGCTAAAAGGACAGGTGAGTGAGCTAAGCTGAATAAAGCACAGAATCAGCCTTAACTTACAGCAGGATGCCAGGGCAGGAGGAAGGGGCAGACTGTAGCGAGCAAGAGCAAGCACACAGAGCAGGGGTAAAGATAGGCCTGCTGGTCGACCTAACTCCTGGGGAGGCTATGAGGGCTGGGCAGGGAGGGCCCTCATGGCCAAGCCGGCGCCACTGCAGGGCTGGTGTGCAGCCAAGCGCAGACCCCACCCCAAAAAGGCAGGAGCCCCCTTCAAAGTGGATGCAGAATCCTGCCAGAAGCAGCATATCAGCACCAAGCTCTCTCAAGTGAGCATTCTGAGTAACAGGTTTGATAACAGGGCAGGGGTGACGACTACGCGTTCCTGAAGAACTGAGGTCCCCAGGAAGCTGAGGACCAGACACTCATATGACAGAGCACAAATCCGTCCTTTCATCTCTTCTGCCTCTGTGCTTTTATATTTCCTTTTATTTTCCTTTAATGTCTCAGGAAAGTTCCTTTTGAAAATTCCAACCCAGCTCTTCTGCACTGAGTGAAAAGGGGCAAGGAAAGGACAGGAAAGTTGGGTAAATGGAATTCCCTGGGGGAGGAGGATGGCAGCTGCCAGTCTACTTGGAGATGTGACTGGAGTTGTCACCAAGCTTTCACACCTGGAGTGATAGGGTGGCTGCTGCTGGCTTATTTCCAAGTGGGATGGGCCCTTATTTTATCTCAGCCACAAGGGGTCATGTGAATCCTTGCCTTGTGCCTCCCTGAAATGCACATGTACCACCAGGCTGTGTGGGCCCCAGGCTGAGGAACAGGGACCTTTCTCAAGAAGCCTCTTTCAAGAGGTACAACCCAATATGACTTGGTGAGGAAGGTGGGCTCCTCTGAGCAGCCTCTCCTGGCTCCCCTAGTCTCTGGCCAGTAGAACCCCAGCTCTCTCTGGAAGGAACTGCAAAAATCCTAATACTGGGCACAAATGATAAAGCCAACGAGCAGGAAGGGCAGAAACTGCCCTGATCGTACAGCCTCTCAGTGCTGGAGATGGACCTCGGGTCCCCTTGTGCCCTGTGCCACCAAGAGAGAAGCCAGAGGAAGGAGCAGACCTCTGTCTCAGACCCCAATGACTGACAAGGCAAGGCTGCAGCAGGGTGGGGGCACTCACTCCGAGGAAGGACAGTGAAAGGCAGCTTCTCCCTTCAATGGTGCCAGACAATCGAATCTTGGCCAGACAGCCGCTTGCTAAATTTGGATCAGAAGACTGTCTTCTGTTAACCCTTCCATGTCTAAGCATTTGGGGGCTGGCTGTTCTCTGAAAAAGCTAGAGCCCTGTTTGAGCTGCACCAGGATGGGAGGAGGATTTTCCTTGGTTATACCTGGTCTCAGAGCTCAGGGAATTGGAGCGTGGTAACTGTGGCTGGTCAGCACCAAGCTGACCAAGCTGGCAACACCTAAATGCTCCACCCAAGGGTCAGTTTGCACAGATCACAGGCCACAATGAAAGCAGGCAGAGGGCAGAGTGAAATCCGGCAGCTGGCCACCTGAGAGTAAGGCTGCAAGCCACGAGGAAGCCAGACTGTGGACCACTAGAAAGCAAGAGCATAGCACAAGCAGGCATCAAGCCAGAAAAAAGAACTCAGGAATTGTGCCAGATGGTCAAAGGTTTGTGGGTCACAGAGAAATCAGGCCACAGAGAGAGAAATCAGGCTTCAGAACAGACCCTTTGGTCAGCTGTGATTCAGAAGGGAGGGAGCTTCGCCGTCCAGTGAAACCAGGCTGCAGGCCCCCCGGGCCGCACCCCTAGCCCTCCCTCCGCAGCCGAGCCCAGCCTCACTTGAGCTGCTGGGTAATGAGCTCCTCGTCGTTGAGGTAGCGCAGCCGCTCCTCCTCCACCAGGGTGCGCTGCCGCTGCAGCGGGTCCTCCTGCCGCCGCGCCGCCTCCGACACGCGCATGCTCAGCTCCGCCTCCGTGCCCTTCAGCAGCGCGCGCAGCGACTCCAGGTTCTGGAGCTGCGGGACGCAGATGGACGGATGGACTGGGGTGGCAGGGAATGGGGGCGCGCAGCAGGGACAGGGCCGGGAAGGGAGGAGGAGCGCAGAGGACAGCCCGGTGCCGGGCGGGCTCCACAGAAGATGCAGCTGCTCGGCTGTGGCCATGAGCAGCAGCGCAGGGCTGGGATGGTGGGGGGCGGAAGACAAAGTTACGTTCTGGGAAAATATAGAGGCCGGAGAAGGGGATGGGAATATTTGGGGGGCAAAGCGTCGCCCTATGTAGGGCTCTGCCGATCATGCGGTTGCATGGCTGTGGCTTCGATGATGGACTCAAGCACTGGGGTTTGATAGGGTTTCCGTGGCTGGGACGGGAAGACTAACAACGCTTGAACTCAGTTCTAAGGCCGAGTTGGGGCAATGGGTGGGGTGGGGGGAGCGAGATCTTACCCGCTGCCCAGATGGCAACTCTCTGCCTCCTCTCCAACCTGTCTCTGCTCATTATTCTCACCTGACGGACCTTGGGGCCCTCTTGAGGAGCGGGCATAGCGATGCCAGGCTCCTGACTGGTGGGACCATCTGCCAGGAGGGGCAGGGCGGGGAAGACTGTGCGGGCTCAGGAAGGGGGAGCCGAGGGGATCTGGGAAGGGCTTCCGCCCAAGGGACGGGGAAGGGGAGAGCAAGGCGGGGCAGGAGGGAACTGGGACTGCCCTGAGGGATACTGACGCGCGTGGGGGGGGGGGGGCGCTCAGAGGGATGGACTGGGGCTCCAGGAGAGGAGGATTCAGGGAAGGGGAAGGAGGGCTCAGTGAGGGGGATATGAGCGAGGGATGGGGGCTTGGTTAGGGAGCAAAGATTCAGCGAGGGGGTGGGAACTCAAGGAAGGGAAAGAGGAGGGAGAGAAAGGGTTCGGAGAGAGGTAAGAGGGAGCAAGGGATGGGGCGGGACTTGTGGGAAGGGGTGTTGGCCCGAGTGGGTGGGTTCTGGCGGGGCCAGATTTGCGGAGGGGCTGGGCATGGGGAGAGGGCCCAGAGCGGGCAGTACCTGGAGCTTCCGCAATTGCTGCAGCTGGCTGCGCAGGTCACTGGTGCTGTTTTGCAGGCCACGCAGGTGTAGTTGCATCTGCAAACGGCTGATGGCAGTGGGCTGCCCCGCAGGGGTGCTGCTAGCCGAAGGTGGGGGAGGGCCGGACACTGGGGTGGCCCCGCTGCTCCTGCCGCCTGACCCGCAGGCTGCAGAGAGGGGCCACAGGGATGGAAGAAAGGGAACAAATCCTGAAGGGCCGCGGCAAGACCCTCCCCACTCCCAACCCCATACAGTAGCCAGAGAGGCATGTGGCTCTGCTCCCCTCCCCAACTGGTGGTCAGCCCTTCTGTGGGAGCAAAGCACCAGGGCTAAGGTGATCACTCTTATCCACTGAAGCCCAGTCACGTAGCTATTGTTCAGTCCCCATTTTACAGATTAGGAAACTGAGGCTTGGAGAAGGAAGGACCTGTGGGGGGTGGGGGAAAGGGTCACTCACGTGCTGAGGGGGTGGCTGCTCCATTGGAGCCTTCAATCTTCTCACTGTAAAAGATGGCCATCAGGGGGCCAGGCTAGCCCCAGACCCTCAAAGCTGGGTGAGACCTAACATAATCTCCCAGTCCTCTGTTCTCAGGATGGAGTCCCAGAGAAGGGAAAGGGCTCACCCAGGGTCACAGGGCAAGATATTGTCAGAGCTGAGCCCGGGGCTCCTGCTGCCCACTTCCCCTTCCTCTTGCCTCAACCACAAGCCCTGGCAGTGGTGTTGGGAGAACAGCCTCACCTGGGGGTCTCAGGCTCTGAGCCTCGCAGTAGGGCACTCTGCACCAGGCCTGTGAGGCTGGCAATCTGCTTCTCCATGGCCTCCATGCGTTCCCTGGGGAGGATGGGGGCTTTGAGCAACCCCTGCTCTGGGCATGGGGTCCCTCCTGCCCAGCCCCCACCATTCCTAAGATTGGCAATTAGATGAGATACCATTCCCTCCCCAGCGCCAGCACACAGACAGTTCAAAGGATCCCAATGCCTAAAGGTCAAGCTCACAGCCCCGGACCCAACATTGGTAAGGCCCTTCTCCACCTGACAGTCGCCCTCTCCCTCTCCAGTCTCATCTCTCACCAGTGGCTCCCCATTGGGCCCCACTCAAGCCTCTCTGTACCTCTGCACATGTTTTCCCCTTGCCTGACATGCCCTCCTCCCTACCTTCTCTTTGAGGCCATCCCAGAGTCCCAACAGCCTTGAGGAGTCCCTCCTCCCACAGCACTTGTACACCCTCTCAAGGGAAGTGCAAGTATTTCTTAATGTGTCTCTCCCACTACACAGGGCAGGAACAGGGTCTGCCCAACTTGGCATCGACAGTGCCCAGTGCAGGGCCTGGCACACAGGCCACAAGACAGCTGTGTGAATGCAAATGGCTTCTCCTCAGCAGCGCTGCCTGAGGGCAGAGGAGGACAAGTCAGTGCCCTGGTTACTTCCTCCGGCCCTGACCCTTAGGAGAGAGCTGAATGATGGGCAGGAGTCCCCCAGCTGGGAGGCTACCTAATGGAATGTGTTTCTCTGCCCATCCCTGTTTCTTACCAGTACCGCCCCCCCCACCCCCACCCATCAACTTCAGCCGGCCCTGTGCTGGACAGCTCTCATGGCTGCAAACTGAGCAGAACGGCACTACAGAGTGCTAGTTCGGCCTCAACTTTAGTTGGGGAAACTGAGGGTCAGGGAACGGATGCAAACCCAGGTGCCCAGAGTGCTTGACTGGGGCCCTCTTGTCCACCCTTCAGGACTTGTAGACGGAGGGAAAATGGCATATTCGTCTCTCCAATGCCTTCCCCGCCACATCCAAGATACAGTACTCTGGCGACCCCTCAAGACTACTCCGGGTCTACAAAGGACTCCGGGGTCTCAGAGTCCGGGACACAATCCTGCCACAGACTCCAGAGCCCCCTTTGCCTCCCCCATCGCGAGCGTCCCTCACCTGGTCTCCGTGTCCTTGGCTGGCACAGGCGGCCCGAACCCGACGAGCGGGCGCTCCCCAGGTCCGGGGAAGAGCTCGGAGGGCGGGGCTCCGGCCGTCGAGGAGCCCCCAGCGCTGCGGCTCTTGCCTCCGGGGCTCTCGGCGAAGACCGACGAGGAGCCCGAATCTTTGCGGAAGGACTGGCGCACCGGCGAGCCGCGGCTGGGCGGCCCCGAGTAGGGGCTGTGCGGCGGCTGGGGGCCCCCGGGGGGTGCCGCCACGTCGGCCAGCTTCTGCGGCGACGAGGGCGGCAGGCGGAAGCCGTAGCCGTCGCCGTAGAGCGGGCCACCGCCCGCCGCCTTGTACAGCGAGTCCTCCAGGTCGGACTGCAGCGCGGCGGCCGAATAGGTGCTGAGCGAGCGCACCGAGCCGCGCTTGTAGAGGCCGCCGGCGCCCGGGTAGGCGAACGGGTCGCCGGCGGCCGCGGCCAGGCTCAGGCGGCCCTCGTGGAGCAGCCCGTAGGGGTCGGCGTAGAGGCCCTCGCCCTTCACCAGCACCATGCCGCCCGCCTTGCCCGCCAGGTCCTCGTCCGGCTTCACGTCGCGCCGCTCCAGGATGGCACTGGGGCTGGGGCTGACGCCCGGGGCGGCGGGGGCTCCCCCCAGCCTCTCGGCCGCGTGGTGCACCGGGCTGCCGGCGTAGGACGGCGGGCGCCCCCCGGCGTACGAGAGGCGCGAGCGCGACGGCGAGCCCGATGGCAGCCCCGACGGCAGCCCCGACGGCAGCCCGGACGGTAGCTCCGGCGGCGGCGAGCCGGAGGCCAGGTGCGGCGCTGGCGACAGGTTGTTGAGGCGCCGCGTAGGCGACGACTCCCGCGACGCATACACCATCTCTCTCTGCAGAAGACATCCCCAGAACCCCATAGGGCTGGTCACAAAGGGGATCCCTTGCTCCTTGCTTGAGGAGCCAGCATCATCTCCCCCCTGACGCTTAGGAAGTCCCTTCTGTTTTCTGCCTTCCCTCGCTCCTGCTGCATCTTGGGCCCCTTTCTCATTAGAGTTCCCAGCAGGAGGAAGAAGTGGCAGATGGAGACGCAGCAGAGCGGCAAACCGCGGCCCATCTTATGGTGAGGAGTGGGAAACAAAAGGGGAAAGGGGTGGTTCCTGAGCCAGGCTGTCTAGAGTATCTAGAGGCTGTTAGAGAAATTCTGGGCGAACAAGAGGGGAAAGTGGCAGGTGAGGGGAGGGACTCCATGACCCCACAATTAATGGAGGCCCCCCTCTGCTTCAGCCTCTATGTTCCCTTCTCCAGAGCTGGCCCTGGTCCCTGGTGACAAGTGACTAGACTGCTCCTGGACCCCATCTGCCCAGCCTCCCCAGTGCCCTGGGCATGCCCAGCCATACCCGGAGGTCCCCGTTGGTGAGGTGTGAGCCAGGGAAAGCGGCGTAGAGCGGCTCCTTCCTATAGATCTTGATAATACTGCGGTCCTGGATGTCCCTGGGGGGAGGGGGGAGGTACAGAGGGTCACCATCCCCCAGCCCTGCGATGAGGAGGGGCAGCTAAAACAGGCAGAGGGGAGGAGGGGTGGTAAGGGGCCAGGAGCCTCAACCCCTTCCTAACTACTTGCTCGGTGGATCTCGTGGCTCAGGCTGCCTGTCACCAACACACACACACCTAGCAACCTCCACCCTGTCCATCTCCCCCTCACGCACCATTCTCAGGTTAGCTCAAGCCAACGTGAACCAATAGAGGTGGATGCTCTGGAGGGGAGGAGGTGGGGCTGGGACGATCGGGGGAAGAGGGCGGGGCGGTGGGGCTGTGGGAGGAGAGGGTGAGGGGGTCAGTACAGGGCTGGGGAACGGCCCCGCGGACTCCAGCCGGTTCAGAGTAGTAGTATGGGAAGCCCGCCCCAAGCCCCCGGGGTCACGCCCACCGGACGTCCTCCAACTCGTAGAAGACGTTGCGAGCCTCGTCTTTGATGAGGATGGCGGTGTTGGGCGACTTAAGCATGCCCATGGTGAGCTTCTGCGGGAACATGTGCGCGATGAGTGCGTGCAGCGTGTCCAGGCTGCTGACCTCGTGCGTGATGTGCACGCGCCGAGTCTCCTCCCCGAACTGCAGGAACAGCACCCCTGCGAAGGAGATGCTGCCCTCGCTGCCAGTGCCACCACCACGTCGCCAGCCGGGGGAGCGAGGGGGGCTTTCAGGAGCCCCGCTGGCCGCGCAGAGGCAGGGTCTGAGGCCGGATGCTGTCCCGGAGTGCAGGTGCACCCAGGCACTCCTCATGCTGCCGGCCTCTCAAGGTACCTCCTTGACCCCAGACAGGTTGGAGCCTGGATGAGGAAATTGGGGGCAGGAGCAGGTGGGGCAGAAACTCAGAGGGAGTCGTTGCGTTGCCGAGGGGAGAGAGGTGAGAGGAGGGGATGAAGGAAAAGGGGCTGAGGAAGGGGGTGAGAGAGGCCTAAGGGAGAGAGGAGGCTTGGAAAGAAAGGGGATGCTGAGGGAGAGAGAGGGGTGGGAGAGATGATGGAGAGAGGTGAGGGGAGAGAGAGATGGAGGAGGGCTGGGAAGAGAGAAGCTAAGGAGGGAGAGGAGATTGCTGGGGGTGGGGAGATGGGGAGATGGGGAAGAGAGCCAGAGGCTTCGAAAAGACGGTGGAGGAGAGATAGAATGGTGAAGGGGATGAAGAGGGTTCCAGGGGAGCAGAGCAAAGGGAGGAGCCAGGGGCCAGGAGGAGGATGGACCGGGTGGGCAGTACCTGGCGAGCGCAGCTTGGTCTGGCTGGCGGAGCGGGAGAGGGGCAGGCTTTGTCGGAAGCGATTCATCCTACTGAAGCCCAGGGGCAGCTCGGCCTCCGACATGGTCTCCAGCGATTCCGCAGAGGCGTATGACAGCTTGGCAGCCTGGTCTGCCAGCCCGGGCTGGGCTCCCTGAGTGTGGCGCGAGCTGCGGGTCTGCAGGGGCAGGGCGGGCCAAGAGGAACCAAGCATGAGCCCCTTGGCTCTGCCCGCTGCCCCCATCCAGGCCCGGGGAGCCTCTGCCAGCCAGTGACACACACACACAGGAGGGTCTCCTGGGTTCCAGACTCGCTGTGAGGCTGCACGAGCGTTCCCCAACCTCTTGGGGCCTTGGCCTGGCTGGGACACCCAGCAGGTAAGGAGTGGTCAGAGGACTCAGGCACCCTGGGAAGCCAGACAAGAAACCATCTGAGCAGGAGCCATGGGCACGCCTGCTATTTTAAGCTTCCAAAGAACAACAACAACACAAATTTGTCACCGAGGTGAGCAGCAGAATCGTTGAGCAAATTGGGGCATTAGTTCCAGACATTAATTAAGCGGCGGGTTTGTGAGCAGCGAATTTATCCTTCGTGGAGTTCAGAGAGTTGGGGTGGGGGCGGGAAGCAGGGCCCAGGGAGAAAGCAGAGAGAGCTAGGGACCCCAGGATCCCTCGCAGGGCTGGGCACAATGTCCTTGACTTAGAGTGACTGGGAGAACCATCCCTAACCCCCCAAAGCCAGCTGGACCCCAGTTTGAAAGAGACTACCTGCCTAGTACATGCAGTGCACATGCTAAGCCCGGTGTGATCCACACGCGCACATGGTGTTAAGTGCCAGGCCTACCCCACCCTGCAAGACACATGCTGCCACACAGCCATCGGGCCTGGCTAGCCTCCCGGAAGGCCTCCCCAGGGACCCAGCGGGGCAGCCCCTCGCTGAGAGCTACAGCTGAGGGCGGTAGCTGCTGGGGCTAGGGGAGGGTGTCACCCAGGGACAGTCCCTGCCCCAGGAACAGCTTGATTACCCTCCATGGGGGAGGGCTCACCATGATTTCAATTGCACTTTAAGAGCCTACTTTTGGCTGAAGGCTGGGACTGTCACTCAGGGCTACAGTTCCTGCCATTCTGCCCCAGCCCCGCCCCTCACGCCTGGTTGCTGTCAGAAACTCATTTTTTTAAGGGAGTAAGATAATGAATCAGATTTACATCATTCCATGTTATGTACATTATATACATACATGTATTATATATACATATATTATCAGGAAAAAAATCACATTTCCCAATTGTATTTTTCTATAAAGTAAGTTGCCTGTTTTTGACAACAAATCACTCAAAACCATTAACATGGGTTATCTAGGGGCTAGGAGTGAGCTTTCTCTCTTTGCTTTATACATTTCTCTGCTGGGTAAATTTTGCACAATTAGAATATATCATTGTCATAATTTTTTTAAAAACAGTAAAAATATCTCTGAAAAGGAATCATTTATTCTCCTCCTCAGCTCCCTCCTTCCCCAAATCCTGGTTAACCCCAAATTAATCTCTATCTTCTGTATTAACTCAATTTACTGCTCCAATCGGATTAGTACTCTTGAAAAGAGACAGCATCTTCCTCTATCGGGCGATGTGCCCAGCTGTCCCCAAAGTGGCCTCGAGGGCTTGGGGATGTAGAAGGTCATATTTGGGGACCTCAGAGGGCATCCAGCCTCAAGCACAGTGCCTTGAGCAGTGGGTGGGCATGGGTGAGTGAGGAGGGAGGCAGTGTCAGACTGGGTGCACCTGGGGACACCTGTGCCCAGACTTTGGACCCTTTGGCTCAGATCTAGGCTGATCACCAGTACCAACCTGTGCCCCTCTCTCTCACCTCAGCCCCGTGACAGTGTCAGGAGCCAGGTCTGAGCTGGTGGTCATGGGGGTGCCAGGCAACTGGAAGGTCAGTGGTTGCCAGGCTGGTGTGGATGAGGGGCTACAGAATTCAGGCAGAATGAGCCAGCCAGCAGGGATGAGTAGGAGTGGCCACAGTGCTGGGGGGCACAAGGGAGATGCTAGTAAGAAGATGGAACAGGGGCCAGAATGATGGGGGACGGGGATGCCAGGGGCTGCTGATGGCAGAGAAGGCAGGAACCTGCCCAGGGAACCCTGGGAGAAGAGCTGCCCACACTCCCTGCTCCGCCAGTTCCTGTCTCCATCCTGGTCCTGTGGGCACCTTCCCCTCCTCACAACCTTTGTGGAAAACCCTCTTGAGAAGAGAGAAAGCACCTTAGTGTTCTCTCCAGCCCTGGGCTGAGACAACAGGGCAGAGAAAAGTGAGACATCCAGAAGGACTTCCTGACTACGAGGGAGATGGCAAGAGAACAAAACAGTAATTCAAGCGGAGCTCGCCAAAGACAGGAAAGGGGCTCCCGGGCGAGGCAGTGAGCCCCTGTCCTTGGAGATGTTCCACAGAGGAGCTGATGACTCCTGGTCAGAGATCAGGCAGAGGGAACCTTGAGCGGGGGTGTCAGGCTAGTTGCTGAGGTTCCCCGTGGCTGTCCACAGACTGGGGCCGAATCACGTGGGAGCTTTTAGAAACATTCTTTCCAGGACCCCACATTCACTGAATCTGAATCTCTGGGGTCTGGGGCCTGAGGCTTGAAACTTTTGCCAGCTTCGCAAGGTGATTCTGATTTGGGAATCAAGTCAGAGCCTGTAATTCTAAAAGCTAACGAGGTAAGCTACCACGGAGGGTTTGCTAGGAGCCAGGCACTGTGCTCAGGACACGCAGTATCTCATTCCATTCTTTACAACAACTCTATGACACAGATATCGTCGTTCCATTTTACAGAGGAGAAACCAAGGCCCCGGGGATTATGTAACTTGCCCCAGGTCACCGAGCTAGTTAGTTAATAGCAGGCTGGAATTCACCACGGGCAGCCTGGCCCTTGGCCGGCTGTGCATTGAACTGCTTCCTCCGCAAAGGCCATCTGCCCGACGCCATGATTCTGTGATTCCCCAAGTCCCTGATTCAGGGACTTCTCTGTGGAAGAATGCATGCAAAGGAGATGCTTGGGGTGAGCTGACGCCCAGGTTGTCTGGGATGAATGCCTCCCACCCTGTCATCATGCCTGGGACTTGAGGGACCGAAGACTCCAGGACACAAGCAGTAGTCTGACTTGGTTCAGTTCTAGGCCCGGGTGCCAGAGAAGATGGAGGAGGCACCTGAGGGTGCTCCCCCAAGGGTCAGCAGGATATCCGCCCTAGACAGCTCTCCAGCTGTGGAAAGTCCAGACTCTCCCAGGAGGCATGAAGGCACCCCTCCCTCAGCTTAGCCCTCCACTTGGGCAACAGGTTTGGGGGTGCAGGGCTATGAGTCTTGCCTGGCACTCAACAGCTCCCCATAGTGGAAAGTAAGGAAGGGATGAGGGACCCATCATAGTCACAGGGCCTCCCTGGAAGATGACATCTGAGTTCAGAGAACAGGGCCCTCAACAAGATCATGGGGTCTAGGTCCCTGCCTCAGAGCCAGCAGTCTCTCCAGGCTGGCGGAAATGTCAGGCAGCCTCTCATTCCCAAATGCCCCTCACGGCCTGAGGAAGCCTGAGCATTCCCAGCCCAGATTCCCAGCAGAGGCAGCCGCAGCTCCTGCACTGGATCCACAAGCCCCTGGCAGGCCCACCCAGACTCTCTCAAAGCAGCAGCCACAGCCTGCAGCCCCAGGCCCACCGCCCGCACCAGAAGGTCCCGTGCAGACGCACACCCTGTGCAAAGCATGTGCAGGGAGGGGTAGGGGCAGGGATGGGAGAGCACATGCAGCTGTCACGGAAGCAGAAGCACCACGCACTGACCTTGAAACTCCAGTAGTTTGGCTGCTGATGGAAATAAGAGAAGAGATGGTTATACGGGGCTGGGAGGAGAGAGTAGGGGCAGGGGCAGGTTAGAGACCCTTGGAGCTCAGCACTCAACCCTGGGACATGGGCGCTCCACCCTCCCAAGAGCAGGAAGGAAACGATGCCTGGTACATGCCATTCTCTACTGAGGCCCAGGACGGCCCTGAGCCGGCGCCAGGCCGGCTGGTGGGGGCTGGGAAGAACCATTCCAGATGTTTACAAGCCATGCATTCTAGTCATGGTAACTGTCCTTAGAGAGTCACAGGTAGGAAAAGGCAAAGATGACTGTGATATGGGGAACCCACAAGACACTGGCAGAGATGAAGAAGAGCTGCAGGGTCAGAGAAATGGTATCTGGTTGTGGCAGGCCAGGAAAAACTTCCTGGAAGAGGTGGCATTTGAGCTGGATCTTGAAAAATGAGCAGCTGGAGACTAGGAGGAAAGGCATGCTGAGCAGAGGGGACAGCATGGGCAAGTGCTCAGGGGCCGGCAAGCCAAGAGTGTGTTGAGGGAATAGTCGATCGTCCAATTTGGCTGGGTTGCAGGGCCTGGAAAAATAGCAGATTAGGCTGCAAAGAGGGGCTGGGGCCAGAGGAATGGGCTTAAATGCCAAGTGAAAGTATTTAGACTTAACTGGGTGGATGAGCAGAAAGCATCAGAGTGAAGCAGAGTGGGATCGGAAGTGGACCCCGAAAGGGTTGATGGGGTGGGGAGTGGAAGAGGGAGGCTGGGGCCAAGGCCAGGGCAGGGACGCCTATGAACATGATGGACCTGGATTACAGAGAAGGGTAAACAGACGCTGTCACCTCACCGCACTGGGCAATAGATGGGGAGTCGTGGGCAGCAAGGGGAATTGGGGAGATTGGGAGCATGGGCAACATCCTATGGCCGGAGAGATGAAAGGGGAGGTCCCCTTGCACCCCTAGAATGGGGGCCTCAGGTTCCTCCTCATTCACAATAACCTAAGGTCACCCTGCTTCCCCTGGAGACCAGAAGGCCTTTCCAGATGGCTAAGGACAAGGAAGGAGTGGCCTGGAGGCTGGGTTGGTTCTTGGCAAAGCTGAGGGCACCCTGCTGACCGGTGCCAGCCTCAGCAGGAAGACAGAGGCAGCAGATGGCCTGGCCCTGGGGTGCCTGGCACCAGCAGACAAGATTCCCCAAGCCTCAGAGCCACTATCAGAGGGGAGAGACATTGAGGGTCTTCGATGGGAGAAGGTCACCATGCCAGGGTGTCCTGTGCCACCTGAATGCTTTAATGGCAGAGAGGAGTCAAGCGCAGTGGCTGAGTGGAGGGGCACTGCTGGGACAGAGGCCTTACGTGAGTGAGACCTGAGGGTCGGGGTGATGCCAGGCTAGGGCTCAGATGAAGAGGTTCTCTCGCCAGGGCTATCTCCATCTGAGCCACAATCCCCACCTCTACCCCCAGCACTGGCTCCAAGAGATGCAAAAAACAGTCACATGCTAGCAGGGGAAGGGAACAGCAAAGTCTGTGCCCTAGCCAATGCCTAGAACAATCTATGGATACATGCCACCCCCATGGGTGCCAGGGGATGCCCACAGGTGCTGAGGGGAGGGGAGGGGCTAGAGTAACAGGCTCTAGCCACAGCTGCCTGTGACGGTGGGGGGGGGGGGGCAGAGGGAGTGGACACATGAGGGGCCGGCAGAGCCAGGCAGAGGGCATGGGAGAATTTATGATGAGAGCCATGTCTGCAGCCCTGGTGGTGATGGACAGCTCTGCAGAGCAGGCCGCGGTCCCTCATCCACCACCACCATTACACCATGTACACATGGGCTACCCACAGTGCCCAGCAACACGTGGGTCCCACACCACCACGCACAGACTCTCAGACATCCTCCGATAAGGACATCACCACAAACACACCCAGGGCAACAAAAACACACCCACAAAGGGACACAGCACTTGGAGAGAAGCCCTCCATGATCAGAAACAACCCAGAAACAAAGAGAAACTCAGAGACAGAGATATTCATACGTACACCAACCCCACTCATACACAAACAGGGCGCCCACAGGGCCCTGACTTGCTCACACACACTCCCACAAGCTCCACTCCAGTCACAGAAACACAGAGACACTGGCACCATTCACACACACCTTCTCCAACATCCCCCCCCAGAGTCACAGAAACACACAGAGACATGGATACCCATTCACAAGTATATACACGTACACACACACTCAGTTGCAGAAACACAAAGCAGTACACAGACACACAAAGAGAAAGTCTCATCCCTCTTTCCCCCTACTAGCCAGATCATGGTGCCTCTGGCCACTTCAGCCACTGTCCCATGCGTATGATGTCCTAGACATCATGTGTCAGGTAGGGGAACTCCTGATTGAAAAGAGGCAAAGATGCCTCACCCCCACCCGGCCCCCAGTGTCAACACAGTGGACCGGATATGCGCAGATGCACCTCTCGTCTGAGAGAGGGAGACAGGGATGGGGCCCGGCTACAGCCACATTGGCTATGCCCTCAACATGGGCCTGCCTCAGGGCCCCAAGATTGGGCACATCCACGGGGCAGTCAGACCTGGAAGGGAGGAGTCCCTAGCTGGGGCCAGGGGAGAGGACTGGGTAGCATGAGTGCCCCAGGAAAGGCCAGCCGAACCCCATTAGAGGGTCAAGATGGAAGAGTCGCTGCGTCTGTGCCTGGTGAACTTGGAGAGACTGAGAGCAGAGTCCTGGGACTTTTGGCTGTGGCCTGTAGAGCACACGGAGTGAATCCAGCCCCTCCGTCCTCTCTGGAAAGTGGCAAGAATGATCCTCTCTCATGTGGGCCCCACCAGGAATGAGACACATAGTCTCCTGGCAACTCAGTGTCCTGGGAGGGGGAAACGGTAATGGGAAGAGGTCCTTGGGGACCACCCCCTGTCTCTGCCTCCTTCCAGGGTGTCAAACCCATGAGACAGCCTTGGGTGACTGAGAGCAGAGGGCTCCTCCCCTGTTTGCTAAGGTGGGGCTCTCCCCTTCCAACCTCCAGTGCCCTTTACCTCCTCATCCTCTTCCCGGTTGTCTGTTCCCCCTGCCGTGTGCAACACAGCGCCTGATATATAGCAGGCCCTCAACAAATATTTGACCATGAATGAATGCCAAGAAAATTGGACCAGCCCACGGGAGGAAGGGGATGCCTCTGGATACTCTTGTCTGGCACCACTCCCTCCATCTCCTGGCACCTAGCACTGCTCAGCCTTCTGGGCCTTTTCCCTGGGTATTTCCCAGCACCAGAAACCCCCTGGAAGAAGCCCAGTGGGCAGGAAGGGCCCAAGAGAGGTGCGGCTCCCCACCCCAAGCGAAAACCTCAACAGCAGTGCCAAGCTGTCTCCCTCCCCCATACTCAGGGAGGAGTCTCACCTTCCCAGAGGGCAGTGAGAAGGCAAAAATAAAGAAAAGATTGAGTAGCCCCTGCCAGGGGTAATCACTTGTAAGGAAGAATCCTACAGGAGCGGGGGCAAAATGAGAGGTGATCTGAGAGGGTAAGATGGAAGCCAACCAGCCAACCTCTAGGGACAAGGCTTTCAGAAATGGGGGAGGGAGGGCTTCTCCGGAGACCCAAGGAAGCCAGGCCAGGGAGTCCTCAAACTCCCTGGTGAGAAAAGGAAGCAGCTTCTTCCCTCTGGGAGCTGAGAAATTAACTCAGTCCCTCCTCCACCCTAGGCGCCCTCAGTAGGTTCTTCCGTCCCCCTGCACCTGGTTCTTCCTCCCCCCAACGCCTTGCCCCGGGAGGGGCGGGGCCATGCCCCCTAGGATCCTAAGTCCCGCTGGCTGAGGTCTCTCCGCTCCTCTGGGCAGACGTCCCCTGTGGGCTACTTGGGTGCGTGACCCCTCCTTGACCTCGAGCCTCGACGATGCATCCTCCAGGGAGGGAGGACAGCCAATGGGTCGCACCCCGACTCCTTAATCCCCTGGCTCCTCGTGCACCGGCGCACACGCCCACCTCTCAACTCTAGTGAACACGCGTCCACGTAAACACCCGGCCCCCAGGCTGAGGCTGCGTAACGTGCCCCCGGGGGCACCAGCCTCCCCCCGCGGCGCACATGCCCGACCCCCCCACCCCCAGCTTGTGCTCCACCTCCTACCCCTTCCCGATGCAGAGTGCGTGTGTGGTGGGGGGTGCTGTGGGACCTGCGCTGCGCCGGGGGCGAGGGCGCACCCCGGGAAGGTCATGACTTTCCGAGGTTGGAGGTGGGGGCGCCAGCCGCATTTTGGGGTGGGGGCCTGGCCCACGCGGAAGGCTGCGAGCGCTGTGGGGGAGGGGAGGGGGTGTCTCTCAGGCATCACAAACCGCAATGGCCTGCGCGCCCCCCAATCCGGGACGGCCCCTGGGAGCCGCGGAGCAAGGCTCCCCATCTCGGGGTCCCCGCCCTCCGCGGACCCCAAGGCGGCGACCCCGGCCCCCGCGGCCGCTCCTCCTTACCTGCGGCCACAGGTGTATGTGCGGGGCCCCCAGCCCCAGGTCCCACGTCGGGCGGGGGAGGGAGGGCGGCCCCTTACTCCCACCCGCCCGGGATCTCCCCTCCCCCGGCCGCCTCCGCAGCCGCCGCCGCCGCCGGTGCCCTTTGCTGCAATGCGAGAGCCGCCGCCGCTGCCGAGCCGGCCCGGGCCCCGGTCGCCCCGGTAACCGCGACTCCACCTGGCGCGGCGCGGCGCGCCGCCGTGCACATCCTCTCCGGCCCCCTCCCCGGCGCGGCCCCGCCGGCGCAGCCACGCCAAGGAGCGGCGGAGGCTGGTGGCTGCGTCGCCGCGGTCACCCGATACGCCTGCCCGCCCGCCCGGGACTCGGGTTGCAGGAGGGAGGGAGGTTAGACAGCCTAGTGGAAGCGGGGGAGGGGCTGCGGCTTGGAGTCTGGCCTCTGGTCCCTTCCCAGAGTCCTCTTCAGGTCCCTGCCCCCAAAGAGTGTCCTGCCTCCTGACAAGCCACCCTGGGAGCTCACAGCCTCTCCCCACCAAGGTCTCAGCTGTGCACCATTGCCCTCTTGGCTCTCCCATGACTCAATTCCCAGCCAAGTCTGGGAAGCCTAGGATGCCTGACTTTCCTTGATGGCCTCTGATCCTAATCTGCTGTGTGACTCTAGCATTTGCTCAACGTCTCTGGTCTTGCACTTTGGAAAAAGAAGCCTCAGACTCAGCCATGGGGAATGGAAAGTGTGATAAGCACTAAGTATCAAGCGCTGACAAGATCCTGTGCACAGCCACTTTTCTCCATAATTACCAAGCCCTGGGTGAGGGTCCCTTCAAGCTCTCCCCCTTTCTCCACCAGAGCAGATTCCAGATGTGGACAGGCCTAGAACCCCATGACCTGGGACAACTGAGCTCACCAGGTCCAGCCTCACTCCTCTCTATCACCCCAACCATAGGTAGCCCCAAGACACTCCATCCGGGGAGGGCCTCTGTACCCCCCAGGCACAGCACGCCTCTCCTCTTCCCTATCACCATCCCCGTCCCAGCCCCATTTTCACCTCCACACGCACTTGGCCACTCAGGACAAGTCTGTCCCACTTGCCGTCCAGCCTTGGGGGCAGACACATCTTTGTTCCCCGAAGTTCAGTCAAGATGAGGCAGAGGGCCGAGAAAGGAAATGGGCTGAATGCCTTGTGCATGATGCCAAGTGTGCCAGTCTGTTGCTAGACATGCATTACACTCAGTTAAAAGGTCTGTACTCTGGAGCCTTGTCCTTTCCCAGCCTGTCATATTTTTCCTTCTTCTAACTCTCCTTGAAAAAGTCCAGCCTTGCTACCCCTCTCCAGGGAGCAGGGTGTGTGAGGAAGTGAAGCTGGCACCCACGTTACCCACTGGGCTCCCTGCCCCTACAACTCCTCTGCCTCCTACAGCTGCCTCCCCACCATTTGGGCCTCAAATGCCTGTTTTTCTCCCATGGCAATGTCCAGGCCTCAGCAGGGAGCCCAAGCCTGTCTAAGTGTGCCCCTGTCTAAGTTGAGATCCATCTTCCTATTAGGGAAACTGAGGCTTGATGAAGAATCAGGAACAAGTTCAGAACAAATGGCTAGATGCCAAAGTCCTCTGAAAAATTTGAAACTAAGCCTTGAGCATAGCAAGGAGGGTGGAAGAGAGATATCATGAAGAACTTCCCGATGGTAAGACATCAGGGGAAGGCTGGGTCTGCTCAGAGATGGAAGGGTAGGGTGCGGATGGGGGAATGAGATGGTCTGCAGTGGGGGTGGGAATAGGGTACGGGGCATAAGAGACTCCTGAAAACCGATGTGGTGAGGGTGGGGGAGGTACTCCTGTTTACAGGAGAAAAGAATACAAAAACTTTTTTCAAAACCTGAGTATTCCTCCTCAAAAAGTTCCTTCTCCAAAGCCAAGCTTTGCCACAGGTTTGGGGAGGTAGTGGAAGGAATTAGACAATCAGGGGGAGAGCACAGGGCGTAAGAGTCTCCTGAAAATGGGGGGCTCCTACATAAGAGCAAGGGGTGCAAAATAAAAATCCTGGATATCCCCCCTCCAAAAAAATCCTCCCCAAAGCCAAACTCCGCCATGGGCTTGGGGGGTGGGGCGGAGGTGGGTGACTCACCTGGGCCGGCTGGCCAGCCCCGGAGGGGGCGGAGTCGCCATGGAGGTGGGAGCAGAGGGAGCTGAGGAGGCACACGGGGTCCACGGTCCAGCCGCCAACCTGTGTGTGCGAAGGGGGGGACACCCCATTAGGGGGAGCGGGCAGGAGCCGCTGGGGGGCTGTGACGGGGCGGAGAGGGGCACTCCTGAGGCAATCTTTGGCACAGAACTCACATCGCAGAGGGACCCTGCAATGCTGGCTAGTCCCTTACGAGGCTGGGTCTCTAACTAGAGCCCTTGGTTTGTTTCTGGATGTTTCTCTCCTGTCAGACTTGGGGCTCCCTGAGCCCAGGGACGGGCCTTCCCCATCAGATACTCCTGCAGCCCTTTCTTCAATCTTGAACACCTCCCTGCGCACTCTGCCAGGGAGCTGTTCCTCACCTCTCCCCTCCTCACTGAAGATGTCACCTCCCACCTCACAGAGATGGGAACCATCGCAGGGGTCCTCACCCCAGTGTGCCTCTGTCCCCACCTCTTTCTTCCCTGCCACCTCAGAGGAAGCGACGTTCTCCTGCCACCCCAAGGCCGCACCACACCTAAGGCTCGAAGCCCCTCCCTTCCTAATGCCTCCAGGACCCTCTCCCGATGGCCCCTTCCCCCTCAGCATCCTCAGATTCATCCTCTTCATTCATTCCATACACATTTCCTGAGCCAGCACTCTGCTCAGGCGCCGAGCATTCCACGGCCAGTGAGCCGGCCGGTGGTCCTATCCTCTTACATGCTAAGGGAGGGAATGAATGAGTGAAGGAAGGAAGCAATTTGAGTGAGTGGCTGTGCTTTGATTCATTTCCTAAGCATTTGCCGAGTGCCTACTCTGCGCCAGCAAACATGCCAGACGCGTCTGAGGCCCTCAAACACGCCCACATCATCTCTCACAGCCCTGCTGCCCCTTGAGGCCGCCATTCCATCTTTACCTTTTTCTGGCCAAACTTCCCCAGACAGGTCTGCGGCCAGGGGTCCTGTTCCTTCACCACCTCCAATCTCCTCAGCCCTTGAAAGTGGCCATACCTCACCACACCACGAGAAGTGAGCTCTCCGTCCCCTCTGGACCCCCAGATCCTGGCCAGCCCCCATGGCTGTTTCTCTCTCCTGTCCCTCCTGATTTCTGAGGTGTGGGTGGCCCTCCTGCTGGGCCTTTCTCCTCTTCCTCACATTACTGGTCCCCCCCTGCCCCTTCATGGTCATGGGCCCTCTCCCCTTGCAGACTCCATTCGGCCTTGGTGACCATGCTTATACCCCGGCTCCCACTTCCATTCTGCCCTGATCATGCTCAAGCCTCCTCCTGAAGCTGAGGTCCCTTCAGAGTCTTGAGCTGAGCATATGGTGCCTCCTGGACATCCCGTGACTGCCCTACCCACTCCTCAGACCCATCTCCCATATTCCTGACCCCCAAACGTTTCCCTCCCAATCCTCTTATTTCTCCCCAAGGCACCAACATCTCCCTGTCACCCAGGTTTTTCTGTCTGCCTCCTAGGTCCAGGCAGCAAACAAGCCTCACTGAGTCTTCCCTCCAACCCCCCATCCTTTTCCCTTCGTTCTCCCTGATGCTCTCTTCCTCCCCTCCTCCTGCCTCCAGCCCCGCTTTTGTGCCCTCCTATTCACCATCCAAAACCAACCAGAGCCCTCTTAGCCACCAGCATCTGGCCCCACTTTTCCAGTCTGCCCCCACACCTTCCACTGCCCCCCACCCTGAGCCTTCTGCACAAGCCAGGTGGATCTCTGTGCCGGTCCCCAAACCAACTCAGGGCTCTGCTCACCTTCCCTCCCCACCTCCTCAAACAACATTCTCTTCCTCCATGCCTATTCAGATCTTTTTATCCTTCTAAGCCTAGTTTAGCTCCTCCTCCTCCAGGAAGCCTTCCTGATCAGGCCTGTCCACCTGATCTCCCCTCCTCCAAACCCTCTCCCAACAGACTGTGCCCCTCGTACTTAAGTTTAACCATCATTTTATCCCTTCTAGATCACAAATGTCCCTTCCCCCTCCTCCCAAGCCAGAACACACAGAGGGAACCCACTGAGAGGGAATCCCTGAGGGTGGGGCCGTATCTCCTCCACCTGTGACTCTCCCTTATCCCAATGGCAACTCTGCTCCCAGGAGGACTCTGGAGCTCAGAAAATGCAAAAGCCAGACGGTGCAAATAAGGTATCACGGGGCAAATAAGGTATCAGAAATGTGCCAGCGTGTCCTTGTTCCCTGCCCTGAGGATGGAGTAGGAACACTCCTCCCTTTCCCAGCCATTCCCAGCAGTACCTGGGAAGGGGGAAGAGAACAAGGCAGGTGTGGGAGCAGGGACTGACATCCCAAGGCTCCATTGAAAGGATGTGGATGGGATGTACCACCCTCCCCTCGGTCCCTTCTCCCAGAGCGGATAATGCCTGAGTCTTAGCAGCCTGCAAGGTACCTCACCAATGTGAGACTGGAAGCAGAAAGCTAGTCCCAAGAAAGAACTTTCCTACAGACAAGAAGGTCATACGTGGATGGAGAGATGCATCCAGGAACCCAAGGCTCTGGGAGAGATTTAAAAGGGAAGCATCCCACTCCACACAGAAGGAGACAGGTCCTGGTCCAGAGGCAGGAGCCCTGACTCCCCTCTAAGCCTTACTGATAGCAGGAGAGAAACCAAGGCACAGAGAGAGGAGGCCTGTAGCTCAGAGTCACACAGAGAGTCTTGGGAGAAGGAACAGGAGAAGGAGGAGAAAGGCCCAGGAGTCCTGGACTCTGTTCTTGCCAGGGCTGGGACACATCAGACCCAGCTCTCTGAGCTCCCAAGGCCTCACCTTCCCTCAGGGGCCACATCACAGAGGTGCCGACCCCAAGGTCTCAACTCCACGCCTGGAGGGACCCTCAGACTCCGAACAGTCAGTTCTCAAGCTTGTCCCCTCTTCCTTCTACCCCTCCCTTGGCCTCCAGGATACACCTTCCTGCGCTCTGCCCAGTCAAACAGCCAGAAGGTGGAGGCTGGGCTCTCTGCCCAGTCTCCTGCTCCACATTCCAGGGCTGCAGGCAGAGGTCAGGAGGCTGGTCCTCCACCCTCTTCCTCACCAGGCTCCAGAAAGGCCAACCAACCGGGTAAATCCCCACTTCCCCCATACCCCCTCTCGGCCCCAGACGCCTCTCAGAACCGGGATGAGCTTGGGGGCAGGGGAGCACAGGGTCAGACCCCCTCCCTGCCCGCAGCCAGGCCCCCACTCACCTGCTCTCGCATCCTGTCCTGCTGACCTCGCAGGGCCAGGGCGTGCTGCGGGTACTTGCTCTTTAGGTGGTCCATGAAGGCATCGCGCTTGCGGTCGGCATCCGCCTTCTGGAGCCCGCTGAGCGCCTCCAGGCTCTGGGCGGCGATCACCGTGTGCCGTCGCTCGGACGTGTGCACGAGCCCCACGTTGGAGAAGCGCCGTCCCCCGCTGCCCGCGCCGCCCCCGCCCCCCAGGGTCCGGTACTCCCGCGGGTATTCAGCATCATCCGCAGACAGCATGGGCGGGCTGCTCCGCTCTGGATCTGCGAGAGGGGAGAGGGGGCACGGCGGGGGGTCACGATGCGTCTGCCCGGGCTGCCCATCCCTCAATGGGGGTCACTGCCGGGAGGGGAACCTGGGTGAGGCAGGACTGCCCACCCCTCACTAGGGGACAGAAGGAGCAGAAGGGGCGATGAGGTGGAAAGCGAGCCTAGAGCTCCAAGGAGGGTGGGGAACAAGGGCAGGGTCCAGCTTCTTGCTCTCCTGTGGGTGGGTTTGGAGAGACTGACTGTGCAGTGAGGTGCTGTCCTTTGAGGCCAAGGAGGGGGTGGAAACAGGGGTCCTGGACACCTCTTTAGCCACACTCCCCCCCGTCCTCCTTCCTAAAGCTAGTGTGACCAGGTGAGGGAAGGAGAGTCTTCTTTCGGATGCTCCCTGAAATATGTGGAAAGGAGCCTGCACCGTCTTCCTTTCAAGAGCATCTGCTAAGGGGGGTGGGGTGGGGCAGCTAGCCTCCTCCCTCAGACTAGCATGTCCAGGATACACTTGTCCTAAAGGCTAGGGGGTGGCTTAGAAAGGGGCCAGGACTAGGATACGTTGTGGGGGGCAGGGCATGAGGGCAAAGATCACACTCCAGGCTTCCCTAGGAGATGGAGGCCTAGGGTGTGGGGCATGGGACCCCCTTCCCCCTCCCTCCCCAGAGACAGACAGATGGACAGACAGGAGAGGCTGGGCACAGAGAGGACAGTGGGAGATGGATTTGGGACAAACTCAAAGGAAAAAGAAAGCAACAGAGCAGCTCAAGCCCCCCCCCCCCCCACCGGGACCCTCCTCTGACCTCTCCCCTCCCCTTCTTCCTTACCCCTCCCAACACACACACACAAGTTCAAGACCTGTAAGTAACACACAGGGGACAAAGGACAGTACAGAAGCAAAAAAAAGAGAAGGCCGGGGGTTGAGGTCCCTTCCCCACATGCCCACCAGCCCTGAGCTCCTGGCGTCCCCAGGCCCATCCCTGCTGTCTCCCACCCTCCAGCCTCAGAGTTGACCTTCCTCCAGCCCAGCAAGGGACAGTGGTTCCAGAGTGTCACCCATGCCAGCGGCAGGAGGAGTTGCTGGGGCTTGCCTCAGCCATATTCCTGGGCATAAAACAGATTTGCCCTCCCTTGTCCCCAGAAGTCACTCTCACTGGGAGATAAACACATTCTCCCTGGCACACCCCCAGCCCCACCACCCTCAAAGCAGCCCCCCGCCCTGAGTGGAGCCTAGGTCTGGGGGCATCAGGCCCTGAAGCAGACACACACACCCCAATGCCAGGTTGACTCCCAGGGCTGACTGAGGCCAAGGAGGAGGAGGCTGGGGATCCTGGGACCCAGCCAGGTTCCACCCAGCCCAGCCCCTCGTTGGCCCCTCCCCCCATACATCCACTGCTCATCAGGCCCGCTGCCAGGCCTCAGCTACGGCCTGTTCAACCACAGGAGGAAAGACGAGATTGAGCCACATTTCAGGAAAAGCCACTCCTCGCCCAACACACACACACACCCCGACACCCACACACCTGTCCCTGGGCTATGGCCAAGCCACATGGACCCGGGTGGCAGAACCCTAGAGGACCCAGCACCTTCCACTAAAACCAAGGGAAGAACGGCTCAGAGTCCACAGCTTCCAAGGGCCTGACTGACGGCCGTCATCACGGCCTGGAACCTCCCAACACCCTGCTGGGGAGTGTTACTGTAGCCCCATTTCAGAGATGGGGCCACTGAGGTCAGGGAAGTCCAGTGACATGCCCAAAGCCTCAGTGAGTGGGAGAGGCCAGATGTGACCCCAATACCCATTAGGTTTGTGTCGCCCGCTCCCACCGCACTTTCCTCACCAGATGACAATTGTATATTGACGAAACAATGACAATACCACATTGCACTGGGTGCTCTTCCTTGTCTACCTGCTGTCTGCCCACCTTGGCGCTGGGCCTGGGGTCCCTCCCTCTCCCTCCCGCAGGCATCTGTCCCCCTCATCATCACATCAGGCATCATCACAGTCACCACCCTCTGTTCTGCTCCTCAAAGTGAGGTCCAGACACACAAGAGATGACTTGGGAGGAACAGCATTTCACAGTTTTGTAGTTGTATCTTTACTTTCACAAGGATTAGAAGAAACCCACTAGAAGGTCCAAGCACTGACTTCACGGGTCTTGTTCCTCGGGCTGGGAGAGAGAAGGTTTCCTTTTAAGAAAATTTATTTAAGTTCAAAGTGAGTTAATGAAACATATTGAGTTCACACAGCGCCAAGGTTCCCCGAGAGGGAGGAGATCTGTGAAGGTGGCCCCTGACTGAGTGAGGCCGGGAACTTGGCGCCATCTTCACAAGGGCCCAGTCCCTGCCCTTGAGGAGCTGGTGGCAACCCAGGGTGGCAAGTGAATGTGGCCAGAAGGGAGTGACCTGAACAATCATCCAGGACAGGATGATGGGCTGGGATAGGGGTGCTCCAGGCGCTGGAGAAATAGCCCCAACCAGAGTCAGGGGGCTGCCTCCCGTGACCCTTGACCTCCCTCCTCCACTCACCCTCACCACCAGCTAGAGGTTTGCAACCTCATCGGGTACAGCCGAGCAGGAGAAGACCCTCCACCAAGGGCCAAGGGCCCTGACTCTCTGTAGTCCTCTCTTCGCCCAGGTGGGAGAGATTCTGCCCAGGGCCTTGCTGCTGGAAGCCCAGCTCTAGAGTTCAGCCCTGAGCCTGCCTGAGCCCGAGGGACCTCTCCCCTTGTGCCAGACAGCCAGGCTCATCACCCTCCTAGGGCTCTGCACACGCACAGGTGCATGGGGTCGGGTCTCCAATTCTCATCTCCCCCCCGGCCCCAGAAGAGCTGCTCATCCCCATCCCCACCCTCCCTGCCAGCACTTCCCTCCGCGGCTCCTAGGGAGACCTCAGTCCCATGTCAGGGGTGGGGCACACGGTATACCAGCCTGAGAGAGGCAGGGACTCTGGGGTCATCCAGGCTCTCCCAGGTCCATTAAAGGGGCTGAGGAGGGACTGGCAGGAGGCGTGCCGGCTACTAGAGCAGACATGGGGAGGGCGGAGTGGGAGCAGCTGTGGACGGTGGCCGTGTGCTCGCGCCCTATTTAGGACTGCAGTCCCATAAATCTCACACGGGTGGGCGGGGGTGGGGAGAGGGCTGCTGAGCAGGTCTGAACAGAGTGGAACAAGGGCTCACTCCTCCCTGCCTCCCTGAGGAGTCTCGGACTCACCCCTTAGGTGCCCAGACATGGTTGGAGGGAGGGGTCAGGGGTGAGGCGGGAGCCCGATTCTAGGGGATGGCAGAGAGAGGAGGGGGCGGGAGAGAGAATCTGCCATCTCTGAGGGGCAGTGGGAAGGAGGGGCTTTGATTTGAAAAGCTTTAGCATCTGTTTAAGAACCTTCCAGATTCTTAGCTTTATTTCACAAAGGCAGAAACTAGGCTGGGGAAGAGGCGAGGCGTCTGCGTGACCCAGGTGTCCTAGCTCCCTGCTCTGTGCATTTCACTCCTTCCTGCGGCCCCCGGGGGGCCCGGGAGGATTCACCTGGGCTTCTGGGTTGGGGGGCCATGGGGCTACCCTGAGGGCTCACACAGGAATTTCTCTCTCTGAGCCGCCCAGCCCCGGCACTGAGGTCAGAGCACTGGGAGAAAAGCCCCCAGACCAGAGACCCCTTGGGTTTAGAGTCAGCTTCTTCCCTGAGGGAGCTGGGGTTAGCCATTCATATCAGTCAACAAGTCTGTCCCTCTCCAGCCCGAGGGCACTAATCTGTAAAATGGGGGTGTTAACCTCTAAACCCTGCCCCTGGGCACTGAGTGAGAGGCTGGCAAGACAATGGAGGAGAAAGTACATTGTTCTTTGTTTTGTTTTTGAGGAAGATTAGCCCTGAGCTAACTCCTGCCAATCCTCCTCTTTTTGCCGAGGAAGACTGGCCCTGAGCTAACATCCATGCCCATCTTCCTCCTTCCTCTACTTTATATGTGGGATGCCTACCACAGCGTGGTTTTTGCCAAGCAGTGCCATGTCTGCACCTGGCATCCGAACCGGGGAACCCCGGGTCGCCAGAAGCAGAACGTGCGCGCTTAACCGCTGCGCCACCAGGCCGGCCCCCAGCATTGTTTTGAATTAAAGACTTTCCTGGCACACCGGCTGGTGGGCCCTCGCAGGGCAGCCTTCCCATTGCTCCTGCCCCTGCTCCAGCCGCCACCAAGTCCTCGAGTGGCCCTGACCCGGGAGACCAGTTCCAATCTAGTGCACAGCCTGCGCTGGGCACCGCGGCCCGGAGCAGATCAATGCTTCCTGCTCAATAGCAGGGGGCGGTGAGGGATCCATCTGGGCAGGGGTCTGGGGGAGGGGGAACGAGATGGGACAGGGAGGCCTTGAGGGTGTAAGCAGGACTGGGTTTTACTGGGGCAAGGACGTGGGAATTGAAGGACTCTGCGGTGGAGAGGCAGACGCAGGGCGCCATGGGGGAAGGGGAAAGGTGGGGAGGCCCTGGAAGGGGCAGCAGAGCTGGGGTACTGGCGAAGGGGCATAGGGGATGGGGGTTGGGGGAGGCGGAGAGATAAGCTGGAGGGTTTGCCATCTCTCCAAGGACCCTCAGTGTGCAAGGCCCACCATAATTTCCAAGTCGGAGGTGAAAGGGCCCCGGACTGGTGCAATCCAGCTCAGAAGGAGGGGAGGGGAACGCGCCCCAGGCTGGGGAGACCGGGAGGAGGTGGGCGCCCCCGAGTGGCCAGCGGAGGACAAAGGCGCAGGTGCTTGGGAAGAGAGCCACATAGTTATTTGTTCCACCAATTCTAAATTCCACGTTTATTTATGAGCCTGATTTATTTTTATCCTCCCCTGCATTCTTTTACATGAGATCACTGTAACTCATGATGAGAATTAAGATCCCCAAGTTTTAGCGACACCATCTCGTAAGCCATCAGCCCATCCCCACCTGGCATCTTTACCCCAGATGTCACCATCTACTCTGTCCTCTGGCTGAGGCTGGGCAACATTTACACATGACATCATCTTCAGAGGAAGAG